TGCCCTGAAATTTAATTTCATTTATAGGCCCCCTTCCCTCCATCCGCATAAACAAAAACCATAAAAAAAAGGGTCGAGAAAACTTGCAAAACATTTGATGCCGTGCATAAATTTCAATTAGATTAGCTGCAAAACATATTCATTCAGAGCATTTCAAGTTTTTCGATTATACATCTTTGGGGTGTGTTTTTCTCTATTTGTTTACCCCTCGCCCAAACTACATAATATCTCGGCAAACAGATTGTTTATGCCTCATAAATGGCTTGTGAAGGAAACCGAATCTGAAACTGACCTATTCCAAGTGGATTTCAATTGCTGTTTCAGTTCTATTGAGACTGATTGTGGAAAGCTTAGAAGCTCTGCGAGGTTATCAATTTCTATAACTACATTATATGTGGGTTATCGCGGGAAATCCGGGTGCACATCTGTGATCGCATCCGAATCAAGCCAAAAATAAACTTTTGTTCTTTTTATGAATTTACTGCATTCGCATTTGATTATTGACCATAAAAAGAATTTGGGATGTATTTATAAACACCGAATGAGAAACACCGAAGAACACAAAAGAAAGGCGAAAGAAGGGAGCAAAGATCAGGCAAACACACCTGCAGAGCCCGTTTCCAGATCATTTGACTTTATCCAATTTTTTAATCATGGTTTATTATGCAAAACAAACCCCACAAAATGCCGCACAGAAACAGTCTTTTTTTCCGGCTCATCAAAATATCATCCTCTGCTTACGTCACAACAGCAAAACAGCAGCCGATTGGCGCCCCTTGGCTATAAATCAAATCCCATCATTCCCACTTTTCAGTTATTTAAATAAACTTTAGCGAGAAGGAAAGAACCGAAAAGTTGTGCGACTAGTAAACAAAATTCTAAATCAAATCAATTCACGGGAAACAGAAATTATTTCGCCGGTTAGCAAACAGTTAGCTTTAAAAGTTTTGAAACAAATATCACAGCTGGAATTTTGGATTTATTTCAGAATTATTTGAAGTAAGTTTGATAGATATTTTAGAATATCTTGACATTAAAGGACATAAATGTCAACACATTTTTTTGTGGAAAATATATGCCTTTGTCTTTCACAGAAATGTTTTCACTCTTCTCTCACCCACTGTTTTTGTGTATTTAAATCTATTTTATTTATAAGATTCAGTCACATGGCATGGGTTATTTTTCCCTGCTGCTTGACGAACTGAAATTATTTTATCTGTTTAATTTTTATGGCAATTACACGTCCTTGGTCGCTTGTTTAAATTAAATTTTAACTTATGCAAATGTTTCTCGGATTTTGTTGTGTGTTCGTGTTTTTTGTAATTTTTTTCTTATTATCTTGTTAATTAGCGAGACGGTTTATCAACTCGTTTATGTGGGCATTTAGTTAATCTGCATTGCTTACAGCGTCTTATATATAAGTCACTTGCTTTAATTGTCGCTATAAATATTTCATAATTCTTATCGAAGTTTTCCCCCGATTTAAAATTTTATTCAAGAATTCGAAACGTAATTTCCACGCACATTCCGCTGACTTCTGCGGTGATTTTATTGTTTGATTTTGACCATAATTTTGGACGCTCATGCATATTTATACTCGATAGTCGACAGCTTGAAAATATTTAGTGAGCTGTCGAAAATCCAGTTTTCTTTGTCTTTGTTTGAAACTAATTATGTTTTCGCGTCTTAAGAAATTACTAATAATTCCCCCTTGCTGTCTGCCAACCGTTTAGATATTTCACTCTGTTTGAGCGATGGGCGAGTTTTCCGTTTTGAGGTTTTAAATTTTCGGTTAAAAGGTATTAATTAATGAGTGCACACAATTCACAAAGTCAAAATCACGTGGCTGAGCATCCGACTCTGCCGGCAGTTGGAATCAAACTGAACTGAACTGAATGCGGTCGGTCCGCCCATGTGGTCCGCACTCACTCGGTCTATATCTGTATCTATATACTTTCGTATCTGTGTGGCAAACCGGCAAGGCGGTACGAGGGTGTGTGCGTGAGTGCGCGCCTCTCTGTTTTATATATTACACAAAGCGCGAGAAAAAGGTGAGCACAACAGAAAATCAAGCGAGCAAAGCAAAAGCATAGAGCTAACCAAATAAAAAACTCGAAAAGGTAACCCAACCACCACCGGGCATAGATAACCAAATCCCAGTTGATTAGGGCCCTCTGAGTGGGGCGTTTTGGGGCGTGGCTCGCCATCAGCTGACCGCCTCAGCCAACATTAAACCACTTTCTGTTTTTCGATCCATTTCTGGAACTCTCTCCGCCGCTCTCCAGGTTACGTTGCCCAACCACGGAATATGGAATATGGAAAAACAGTAACGCTTCTGTAACTCAAACTACCGAACACGAACACCTGGAACTAATTAAAGGCCTCAGCAATAGTATTTTTGAACTCGAAATATCATAATGTCGATAACTCAAAAAATCTAAAAAAAAAATTGATTTGAATTTTTTTTAAGAAGAATTGTAATATCTTTAGGTTTAACTGGATTTCTTAAACCTTCAATGGTGTAAGCTAGCCAAGTTCCACTGTAAAGCTTCAAGTCTTGTTGTTGTCTTACATGGCATTAACATTTACATTGCTGTTATTTTGATTATTTTGTTTTTTTCGCTCGTTTTCTTCGTTCCATCGATTCTAATGCTCTTTTTGTTGATTCTAGCTGTGCGTGCCATAACGCACGTAGGCCTACGAGACCAACAACAGTCCAAATATTTCGCCCTTAGCATGGGTGGTGTTTCCCCTCCCCGCACCCCTCGCCTATCTCCTTCCCACGGTGTCTCCATCTCGCTCTGTCTGCAGACACCGAGTCTGTTCTAGTTCTCTGGCTGCGCAGTCGATGTTTTTATGCTGTTTGGCTCGAGAAAAAAAGCTTAATTGTGTTATCTCACAGCTATAAAAAAAATAGAAAATAAATTTATAAAACAAGCCCACACATTTTGTCATCGTCTGTCTGGCCTGCCTTCAACATCAATGCCGCTTGAGATTTGTTTGTGGGTTTTGGGTTGCAAAAAAAATCTCCAAGTTGTGTGCTTTCTAAGCCTCTCTCTCTCTCTCTCCCTGTGTCTTTCATCTCGCTCACTCACTTCAATTGTATTACGTCATGGCTCGAGACACTTGATACGGTGGCAGTAAAAAGGGGTAAAGCAAAATACATGATAAATAAAAGACCAAAAAAAAAAAAAAACAAAATAAAAATGCAACAAAGAGGGAGAAAAAACAGTGTTGGCCACTCTCGATCCAAAAAAAAGTATTTAAATCCAAGCTTAAGAAAATGTAGCTGAAAAAATCAGGAACCAAAAATTGCATCTACTTTAACAAAAAGATATGATCTTTAATATAATAATATTAATATTATTCTGGACCAGAAACATTTTAATTTAATAATATGCTGGAAATAATTACAAATTCTATGAGCTGCAGTTCGATTTGAACTTGGACCTTTTTTGTTTTTCGCTTTTGTAATCAAACAAGAAAGCTTAAAAAAAAAATAATAACATTGGTTTGAGGATATATTGAGGATAGCGTAAAAATAAGATCGTATAGCTCCAAAGATCTTGAATATAAAAACCTCTTGCTATAAAATAGCTAAACTTTCAGCACTGGAGAGCCTGTTTGCTGGTTCTTACTTTTGCTTTTTCGCCTGACATTGAAAATGCAGCTTAGCATAAGGAACACAGCAGCAGCAGCAACAAAAAGTGCAGCCTGTACACGAAAACTTTCAAGGTCAACCAAAGGGTAACACACATCCGAGCAACAGTTAGTTCACCCTTCTCGCTCGCACACTGCACTGGAGGGTCTCTCTTTCTCTCTCTTACTCTCACCATCTACTCTTTAGTTTTTTTCGGCATTTTATACGTCTAGTAAATTGTAAACACAATTTTAGAGACTCTAGCACGGTGACCGAATTTTTGTCATTTTGTTTTTGTCTTTCTATTCGCGGACAATTGTTGGTTTTAATTTTATATTTATTGTGCAAAATGGGGAAATTGCTTGTCGAGCGCATTCTTCGGTTCTATTTATTCAGTTGTTATTCTTGCTATTCCGTAACTAAGTTGTAACAATTACAATGCGAGAAAATTTTCCACTTTATTAAACCATGTGAATATGAACGGTGGGATAAAAAGAAAAAGAGGAAGTGTATTGATATAAGGTTATTTTGCCTTTTAAGAAAATATTCTAAACATGTTTTAAATTTATCGCAGTATTTTTTGTTTTTTACTAAAACGTAAAGACGTAAGACGTTAATTTACAATAACACCAATGCTTCCCATTAATGAAATTAGCAGTATTATCATATTAATTTTAGATTTTTTGATATTTTTTTAATTTAGATCACAAAGATGGAAATTCTTCGGCACTTCGACTATTCTATTCTAGTTTCCCAATCAAATCTTAATTAAATCTTAACTTTTATGACCTTAATTAAAATCAAATTGATTTTATCGTTAATAAACAAATTGATTAGATTACCCCTCTGATTTAGTGTTATGTTGCCACTCAATTCGGGTTTATCAATGAAGAGCAAAAATATTCCACGACAACAGATGTTCCCACACCCACGCAATCGAATTTAATGCTTTCCGGCGTCTTGTTTATTTATTTTGGACAAGCTTCTAGCTTCCACAGACGTCCGATGCTTTTTGCGGCTCCAAGCGAAATGGATAAAAGTGTTAAATAATCTTGACATTTACATATGTAAAACATTTTGTTTGTCTATGCGACGCTAAAACTCCACTTAATTCAGCAGCTGCTGAATTTTATTCGTTTATTTTATTTGTTTTAGTTTTCGCGGTTGCTTGTTTGAGGTTTCTTTTCGGTTTTGCGTTGTTTTCAAAGTCAAGGTTGAAAATTGACTTTGGTTGCTTTGCTGTGAAACTTTGAAATTAAAATTGGTTTATGGGTTTTGTAAATGGTAATTTTTTTGGGTTTGCCACCTGGTACTTGCTGTTCTAGTAATTTAACTTAGTTTAATTGAAAACGGTACTCACTTTGTACAGCCAACTGTTGTTGATGCGCCGCCGCACGCTGTAAATAAAGAAATAAAATAATAAGTTAAATATATATATAGGTTTCTATTATGTTTTTATAACAAAATTACACAGATATTTAAAATAGGTACTTAAAATATTTTAATAGTCCTAGTGAATTTCTAAGTAGTCTTAGCATAGCTTATAAAGTTTGATTTCAAATTCTTATTTAATCATTTTGTGTTCTTATATAAAAGTTGTAAGATAGTACTAATTTAATGGTACCTACTTATTTTATCTACTTTAACTTGTAGTTATATTTATATGTAGTTATATATTTATAAAGAAAAGATTTTTAAATTAAGTTCTTAAAATATTTTAAAAGTCCTTGTGAGTTTTTGTGTATTTCTAGAAAGCTTAAAAATTCACATTTAAAAAATCACATTTAAAAGGTTATTTACATAACCGATTTAAAATATTTATAGATATTTGTAAGCTTATCCTATTTAATGGTACTTATTTTATCTACTTTAACTTAGTTCTTAATCAGTTGAATTTCTTACATTATTGACCATCATGGCGCGAATTCCTGGTAGGGATTGCACATCGAGGGAGTGGCTGCGCCCTCGGCGCGTTTTATTTGTGGGCGAGACGGGCGGAGGGCCGGGCGAGGTGGGCGTGGCAGAGCTACTCGAATGAGTGTGCCGATATATCCAACGCTTCACCGCCGACATTTTGTCACAGTTTTATTGTTTATATATTTGTTATTATTTTATTATCACTTCATAGTCAGAAAATTACACTCCTTTTTTTATTTATTTTTAATTTGTTGATAAAAAGTGTTTCTGCTCAGGAAAACAATTTCAAATTAAATTTGCACTTATTTTATTTGATTATTTAATTTTCATTTCATTTTTAAAATAACGGTTTAAAAGCAGTTTAACCCCTATTTATGTTTCTTCAAAGCAGTTTTACCGTTATATTTTCATTTCAAAGCAGTAAAAGCAAGCAGTTTACAGGCCTGTTTTCCCTACTGAACGCCAGGGGGCGTTTTATTTGATTTTCTTTTTTTTCCTCGTAAACAAAAAATAAATGTTAAGTATTTAAATGGTTTTTTCAGCCATAAATTATGTAAATTTACCCGTTTTCGCAGCGGGAGAAAGCCAATTTATGTATATTTTTTAATTACCCGGCAGGAATTTTCGCTGATTTTTGCGGAAATGGGAAAATAAATGAAATAATGACAATGTCGCCGAATATCACTGGAACAGCTATAATTTTTCCCAGCTGTCCGCTTCTTATCACCTTCCCCCATTCACCCCACAAATTAATCCTTGACCCCGAACTCTTTTAATTAACAAAATAAGCACAAAGCATGATCATTCGAAAAGGCGAAGACACTGATGACGCATTAAAGTTGATTGAACGCAGCAATAAAGTTCAGCGGATTTGAGAGGAGGCGTGTTTTTCTCGGTTGATTGCCTGCTGTCGTGTGTCGTCCAATTGAAATTGACAAAAACTTTGATTGAAAGGTGCACACAAGAAAAGAAGAAGACATTCTTCAATAGAAAAGTCAGAAGACACGAGACCAGAAGAAAGCGATTCTATGCAATGAAAACCAATTGATACTGGGACGAAAAGAAAGAGTTTTTCGACACGGAAATGTTTTAATTGTGCCAATGGGTCAAGGGCAAAAGAAAAATTTTTAAACATTATTAAAAAAATATTTTTCCAGAAAGAAACTAAGCTGCAATTAAAAACTCAGGTGCTACATACCAATATTTCCACACTCAAAATTGTCGACGGCCAAAACCGCATTTTCGACCAGATATTTATAGAGAAATCACCGAAAGATAGATATCTATATTATATTCCCACAACAAGTAAACAACAGACTAAATGTGCTGCCGCAGACTCATGCAAATTTATGTATAAAGCCTGAACAAATATTACACAATCTTAGTTAATTCCCAAATTTAACACCTGCCAAAGTCCCGGGGAATTGATAATTTTTTAACAAACTTCTGATTTCTACACACCACGGGACGTATACTTAATATTGTCAAGTTGAGCTTTTGCGTTTCTTATCTCGTTTTGATTGTTTTGTTTACCCTTTGCGCGGTGTAACTTTTGTTTTTAGCACGACAAACAAGCAACGAATATTATAGACGTAAATAATAAAAGTATAATTAGCCTTTATGCGACTTTTGTCCATTTGGAAATACTTAGTTTGCCTTCATTTCGAATAGTTTTCTTAGCCATGATCGTCAATATTTGTTAGAGAAATGCGCGGAAAATTTAATAAATAAATAATAGACTAGCGAAACAGACTCCGCGACCAGACAACCAAAGGCAAACAGAATGTAAAAGTCATTAACGTTAATTAGCTGCCCGAGCAAAGGCAAACAAAACAAAGGCAAAATAAAAGGAAGCTAAAGTGCTGGAAAGGGTTTTCCGGGGCGAGGAGAAGGAGGAGGACTGGCTGGACCAACTTTTAATATTTAGTTATAAATCAATTCGGTCTAGTTCCATTTAGCGATTCCATGTGTGGTTGGAATTCTGCCAGGTCCACCGATCGCAGATCGATTCAAGAACACCAAATTTAGATTTTAGAAGCCTGTAATTAACATTGCGTTAACAGAGGCATGTTAATTTCCAATTGGCATGTGACCAACCACGTAAAAGATTTCTACCATAATTATAAGTGTACACTTGTAGCGCTGGGATACTAAATAAATAAATTAAATTAAATTCAAATTCAAACAAGAAGAAAGCGAATTTATGTAAGCCTTTCAGGAAATTTAATATTTAATAGCAAATTCCAAAAGTGTATTTTTTTGTATCTCCCCTAAACACATTTCTCATCAGATCTCTCAACGCTTATAAAAACTAGAAAATAATTGTCAACGTTATGTGCAATTTATATTTAAGAAGAATTAATCTTCCTCTTTAAATTAAATTATTTAAATAATTAAGATCTTTTTAAAAGGTTTACAAATATATTTAAACTTTAATTATGAATTAAATATAGTTTAATTTTACTTTATATTTCATGAGTTTAATTAATTCATAAAACATATCAAGAATAAAAATTGCTATGACGCCCAGTTTATTTATTTTAATTTATCTAAAATTATTTTTATCACCAAAACAATTATTTTTGGCTATAACCACTTTAAAAGTTTACCAAATTCTGAAGCCAATCAAAAGCGGTTATAAACTCTTTATATCTGTGAAATACTATATATTTTTACACATTCCTAATCAAGCTTCTCCCACCATAAACAAACTTCCACATCAACAGAAAAGCTTCGACGCCTGTCATGTGGTTGACCTCTAAGCAAGTGAGATAAAAATCAAAATAAATACACAAATAATAAGAGCGAAATATTAAAAACATAGTGAGAACAGAGGAAAGTTTTCACTTGTGACAAATGATTGATTAACAGGCGGCAGAACAGCCCAAAAACAGCGAAGACAACAAAAGCCAAATACATAAATAGAAATAATTAAATAAGCGGACACAGAACCAGAGAAATGTCTGTTTGAAATAATTCACTTTCTTTTCACTTCCTCGTGGAAAATAAGTGAGCGAAATCCCAAGTGGGCATATCCCATATCCCATATAGGGAAAGCTGATTTCGATCTTACTGATTTGGTCAGAGCTTTCCGATTAGGTATCACACTTCTGTTCCGATTCACTGATTTTTATTCTCCCTCCTTCCTATTATAATATTTATTTATATTCGGTTTATTCGCCAGTTATCTGTCGAAATTCTCTATTTAATTTAACCGCCCTTACTTGCATTTATCTTATCTGCTCGTCTGCCTTCCGTTGTATATTCTAAATTAATTTCTCGCCGCTTTCGCTTGCCCAGCTGAATCTTCCGTCTTCTTGTTGATTTTATGGCCAATAGTGAATACTGATAAGTTTTTGTTTTTCCCTCGTTTTCATTTTGCAAATAATACTTGCCAGCTTATCGCCAAGTTAAGTAATCGCAGGAAAAGGGCCTGAAAGTAGTGATATCATCCATTGAGAGGCCATAAAGTAGTCAAACGTCAGTCAGTCGGTAATAATGACCAACAAATTAACCGAAAACAATGTCAATGCGTGGAAAATTCCCTGGCTATGAGCAACAGCTGCGAATCCTCAGAGAAAAGTGTCAAACTATTGGGACAGATTTCATAATCTCTAATGGAATAATTAAGTCGATGCATTGAACTCTACTGATTAATGGGGACAAATGTTGTTACACAAAAAATAATAATTTACTTTTTAAGTTTGGCAAATTGTCTTTCAACTAAAAAATGTTAACCCTTTCTCATTCTTCGTCACTTCCCTTGCCATCCAAAAGTTGGACACTTAACAAATTAGCGACTAAGGAATTGGCTTATGGGCTTTGAAAACAACGAAGCCAGCAAAACCACACCATCAGCTATTATTTAGCAAATTTCGTGAAGACGATAATAGAACAATAATCACAATAGCAACAAAAACACAGATCACATGTTGGCCATTTATTTTGTTGGTTCTTTCGTCTTTTTCTTCTGTCGCACTTTGTATATGCTTATTTCCATGCCTTGCAGATTGCTTTTAATTAAATAAATAGAATTGCTTGAAGATAAATATTATGAAAAACGGTGCCGCGTGAGTTTCGCCAATGAACTTGAAAATTAAAAACACAAATTGTCCGCCAAAAAAGAGGAAATCCTCAGTGTTTTAAATTAAATTAATTGCCGCGGCACATTAGAACCTAAATGGCAGCAGAAATGAAATGGCATAATTTTGTTTGATTTGAAAATAAATGTTGGCGGTATTTGGGAAATATTATTTTGTTTATTCGGTGGCTGTTCCTCTCTAAAAATAACCATTTTACAATAATAAGTCCATTTTTGTCTAGTAATTTTTCAAATTCAAAACGTTTTCTCACAAAATTTTTAATTATTCAGAAAGTCATTAACTAGTTGTCTCATTTTTAATTTATATTTATTTTCCATTTGCAGGCACTTTAGTATGGCTTTTGGTAATAAATTATTTTAAATAGCACTCCAGACACACATTTTATTTAATTTCAAGCAGCTGAAATCGTTTTCTTGCCAAAGAAAACAATAAATAAACAGAAACTTTCGATGTCAACACACGGACGCGATTGGTACCATTTCGATTTGGCAACGCACAGATGGAATGAGTATATATTCCTGTTCCAAACTAATATCGGAGAAAGAAACCGAAGGATCACAAGGCGAAAGATACGCGCACAATTGGCCGCTCGGCCAGTTCAATTGGAAATGCAAGTGAAAATAACAACACATTCGCTCGATCGGCGGTGAAACAAAAAATGTTGAAAAAATGACGACGACGGCGGAGGCAAAACGGCGACGCTGGCGTATACGTAATATACATACAAACGTTTGTGCGCGCGACTTTTCCGCAAAAGTCCAAAAACTGACAGAGAAATGAGAGAGAGAGAAGCGAAGAAAGTGAGAGAGCGAAAAAACAGCTGTGGCGATCACCTGTTGGCAAAGCTTTCGTTCTCAAGGATTTGAACATGTTTATACACTTGGAAAATAGCTCACATGAAAAGAAATTTGTTTTTTACTTTAAAGTTTTAAAAAATAATATATATAAAAAATTTTCTTGAGTAACAGAAATATTTATTTATGTTTGGCATTCCACAAATTAATGAAAATATTTATTTTTTCAAACAGGAAAGAACAAAAAGCAAAATTTATTGGTAACATTATTACAGTTTTTCCAATTATTTCTCCAAGTGTTTAATATTTCTATAACACATTTCTTGAAAGCTCGCCGCACGCGTTTCATTCTTTTGACTCTCTAATGATAAGCGATAAATAAAACCCAAAAGCGAAGCTTATCAATCAAATCGATTGAGGCCTATCGCATGGAAATCAATAATGGCGCATAATTATTTATAGACTGGATGATGATTATTAATGACGCCTCCTTACCGCCGATAAGGCTCTCAAGTGGACTTTTCGAGACAACATGGCATTTGGCAGTGACACTCCGGAAATCATTTAATCGCGCACAGTTAACAACCTAATGGGACGTGATTAGTCGAATTTATGAACTGAATAACCCTAAATCATGATTCTGCTGCGATTTGCAAGGGATACTGTTTTTATGAGGACATATTGAATTGTCCACCGATAAAATGATACTAAGCCGATATATTTCTACATTGTAATTATTAAAAACAGAGGATATTATAATTTAGGTCAGAAGTTTGTAACACAGTAAAGGAGACATTTCCGACGCCAATAAGTCTATATATTCTTGATCAGGATCAATCTTTCCGTCTGTCTGTTTCGATACCGTTTCCGAACCCAGTTTAAAAGCTGGCGGTTTAAAACTTTTACAGTCCTTCTAAAATATTTGTACGCATATGAAAATCGCCCCGATCGGATAGGATTGAAATTTTCAAAAAGCGGAGACACATTTCTTAACCGCTAACAATAAGCAAAGACATAAACCACATGGTTGTTGTCTTGTTTTTCTACTGTCCGCCAGGTGGCTTTTGAAGCGATACCTTTCTTAGTAAATTTATCGATGATTTTATGAACTATGGTCGTTTGAGTTTGAAATTTGTACGGTAAATTCCTTTACGCGGAATTTAAAATTAAAAGAACATTTGATAAATCAGAAATGTTTAAAAATACTTAATACTTAAACTATAGATATACAATTGCGGGAATAAATGGCATTAACACGTAAGTAAGAAATGTTATAATGGAATACATATGTATATACATTCTACAATGCATTGTACATTGCCATGTCTGTCTTTTATTTTATAATCAACATATTACGATTTAGCTCAAATAGAATAGTCTCAACTTACCGCTTTGCGTTTGTCGGCTTCGCTGACGACTGAACTGGATCGATGGCGGAACAGATCCATAACCTTGGTCATCGGCGACCGTTGGGAAGAATTCGGACGCACCGCCGTCACCGTGTGGTAATACTGTCCAAAGTAAGTGATAATTAGTTAGGGAAAACTATATAATAGAGGACTCCAAAACCCACCTGCGCGTCGCTGCCTTGATGCGGATGGGCACTGCCGTCTTTGTACTTGCTCTTCGCGGTGGACTGTGTTCCATCGGCACTCGTTATCGTGACGGCGGGATGCTGGCGATGGCTGAAGTTCTGCATGGCCACCTTCATGGAGTTCATAAGGCCAGCGGCTGCTCCGGCTCCTCCAGCTGCTCCACCTCCTCCACCTCCTGCTGCTCCTCCAGAATTCGCTGCCGGAGGAGCTGTGCCCCCCGAAACGGAGTACGTACTGCTGGTGGCGCTGCTGTCGGCGGAGGACGGGTCCAACAGATGCTTCTCCTTCTGCCGCTTGGCATCCGATTTCGCCCTGGGTCGGAACACATCGAAGATCGTGGGCCTTCGATTCGGCGACGCTATGCCGTGCACCGTCGACTGATTGAGCACCGGCGAGTCCTCGCCACTCCGCCTCCGCTCCAGCGAACCGGATCGCGAGCCCACGCCCGCCATGGCCATCCGCTCTGTGCTGCGTGAGATCTTCTCGCTGTGCCGGTTGATCTTCTCCAGCTTGGCCGCCTCGCGTTCAATCCGTCGCGCCGTCTCGCGCTCCAGCTTGCGGGCCTCCTTCTCCCTGCGCGTCTGCTCCTTCTCCTGGCGACTGTGGAGGAGATGAACAAAATTTTAGCCTTTTTTGAGCATAAATGACATTGAACTAAAAACTTAACCTGATGGTAAGGCTATGATATAAGTAGTTTCACTAGACCTAAAATATTTAATCGCTTAAGTCATTACAATTAATATTTTCTAGCCTCATCTACATCTATGTTTTGTTCTAATGTTGGTATACAATTCTTCACTAGACAATGTTTAAGATACGATTCTAAGAAAATGAATTTTAAAGATGCATAAATTACCAAATGCAACTATTTTATATGTTTTCATATAATAATTTCCTTCGAAACAAATGTTATAACTATGTTAACCGAAGAATATACTATAAACTATATCTACTAACAGAATCTGCGGAAATCGCAATTTTTATGTGGAGATTTTGATTTAAAACTCGTCTATTTGAAATTTATAACTGTGTTCTTGTTGAAAAAACAGTAAAAAAAGTTTTGTTAACGTTAAGGTTTAAAAAACGTTATAGCGAATTTATTTCTTTTCTTTTAACATGACTAGCTCTAAACTAAATGCACTAAGGGCCTATTTCTCTTGTTTATGGTAAACTATAAAAAGGATTTAAGCCCAGAAAAAGTGTTTGAAAACTACTTATTTTGGTCTTAACGAAAGGAAAAGAAAACGGTTCTTAAAATGACTATTTTGTATGTAATAGAGTATTTTATCTTTCTTTGTTTATATCTCCAAATTAATTATCTTTTTCATTCTTTTTTTTTTATTTTAATTTGACCACTCACCGCTGCTCCTTCTCCATCTTCTTGTAGGCCTTCTTGGCCGCCTTGGCATTTGGCTCTGCGGGGGCGCTGGAGGGCCGGGATCCTGGCGTCCGTCCGGTTCCTCCGAGGCTGCCATCCTGCTCCTGGAAGCGAACATGACGTTTTTGGGAATTAGTTTGACTTGGCTGTACGATGGGATTGGGATTCGAGTTGGCATCTAGTGGGCTTTCGATTTCGTTTGCGATTTCGAGAGTACTTTGCATGTTTCTGGCGCCGCTGGCCAAGGCAAACTGAAACTGAAGGCTCATAGGAAGCCGACCAATCGACCGAGCGGCTTTATCCATTATCCCCCGTATCCTTTCACCTCTCACACTTATTTGTTCTATATCTGGCGATCTGCCTCTCTCTCTTTCCTTCCTTCCAGCAGCTGCAATTATTGCCGAATTGTCTACAAATACAATTTATTCGCCACAATACACAATGTTCGATTGGGGGGGAATTTGGGTGTCGTAACCCGGAGAGGCGACACCCGAGGCGTCCTTTTAATTGGGTTTAGGGCGGGGGCAAACGGGAAGACCTATCCCCAAAGCCTGTTGCTCGCCAATCCTGCGGCGCCTTCAATCGAACTCAATCAATTAATTTATGATTACGCAAAATTGTAAGCGAATGTGTGCCAGGACAACAGTTGTCGAGGCAGCAATAGTTCAACTATTCTCAGAATTCCATTTGGAACTTAGGAAACAAGAAAAAGAAATAACAAGATACAGAACTACATTTGTGGTTTGGAACAAAAATTCACATTTGGGGGCATCCCCTTTTAAAATCATTCGAGAAAAAGAACAATACTAATGAGAAGCTAATTATGACAGATGATCTGTCACTTATACAGTCCAATTAAGAGTTCTAAAGAATTCGCTATAATTAACTAGTTTATTTGTTTTCCCTTCATACATAAATAGAAAATGTAAATAAAATTATTTTACAACTTTAGCTACAACGTTCTAATGGAATTCACATATTTTCTATTATTCTCTCGCCATTCACTTTTAATTGCATTATTTATTGAAAGTAATAGCGATCAGTTTATTTAGAAAACGTATTACAAAATAGTAAATAAACGAATAGCAATTTTTGTTACTCAATAAACTTTTTATAATTAGTTTACACTTTTACGATCAGTTAAAAAATGAAGCGAACCCAGTTGTTTAGTTTGGATAATGATAAATACTTCCCCAAGAATGTTACCCAGTAATTTCCCCCATTTGTGAACAACTTTCACAATCACTTTTAACAAATCTTCACTTTGAATTCCACCTTTTTTGACGCGACAAAGAGGAAATATCAGCAAACACACCTGTATTTGGATTATTTTTAGCAAAAACTACAAAGAGATCGGAGCCGAAATGTTTTATTTTATTTTTGCTCAGCTTATTTTTTTTTTATTGTATGACCGAGGGTTTCATTACCAAAGTGCCGAGTCACGTGCCCCGAGGGTCGCAGACGACTTCGATGAGCTAACAACAAAGGCGGTCTCAAATTAGACCCCAAAGGGGCCAAAGTGGGTTAACATTAAAAAAAAAAAACCATAACAAAAGCTCACATTTAGAGGGAAATTAAATTTGCTATCAGCTGTTTGACACAGTCTAACTAAATATTTAAACAGTTATCAAATATTTTAGAGGTCTGCTTTCGGGAAGACTTCCCTTTTAAGTTCTGGGAGTGGCGAACTGGAGAAAATTGACGTCATTGTTTGCCAAGACCTGGTAAATATCTGCCTATATATATATATGTATATGGAAATTTTATACTCGTATTTATACGTACGCGATATGTCCGCGTTCCGTCAAAACAAATAAGAAGCGGCGAGTTACCGGGACTGTTGACAAATTGTGTCATGATAAGCGGAGATACAGATACAGAGAAATATTCCCAACTATACTATACCATATTCTATATATAGCCTACATGTGTGGCACGATAAAAACAAGCCCCGAAAAGCTGATTTTTTGCCGTGTTTACCTTTCGGTCAGACAAATAAACTCGAAAAGGCCGAAGAGGAAAGACAAAGGTGAAATATTTCGTATGTTTCGGCTACCTCTTTCTATTTTCGAACTATAAATAGACAACTTTATGGGAATCGTAGAAACAACGGCGCAGGCGAATTATTAATATTGAATAAACAAAATGCTGGCCAGAAGTGCAGGTCAAGAGGCGTAGTTCCAGAAAGCTCTTAAATGGATCATTTCCCCTTAAAAGGTTATGAAAATATCGTAAAAGATACTGATCAAACGAAGTATTCTTAAAAAAAACTGGAAGACTAACGACTAACAAGAAAAGTTTCAGCTCTGTTATGAGTTAAAAATACATTTTACAAATGATGTATTGGAACTGTTCTCATGACATCATTGACTCAGCGCCCTTCCCTGTTTTGTGCATCGGAAACCCAACTCACTAACCAATTTATACTCGCTAAATGCTTTCGTAATGAAAAGTGTACATAACTCAAGTGACGTCAGTCGGTTCTGTGAATATAAAGATTAGATCTTTAAATTCTTAAAAGCTTGTTGAAAAAAGCCGCAATTTTTTCATCTATAAGAGGCTGAAGACCACTTTAATTTCATTACCTAATAAATCAAGCAGATTTTTCATTTCATTACTTTTGAAATTACATGAGCTCATACTTTACTGGACAGAAAAATAGGGTTTAACTATAATTTCTATACGAATTTTAATTTGTTGACTTTAAGTAGATTAGATTTTTTTATTTTTCTGCCTATAATTATAATCGACTGTTTTTAATTAATCTTTGATGACTTGTCATAGATTCTTCTCGGAATCGGTTGGTATACTCATACTAAAATCAGGAAATCTTTACAATATAAATACCCAGTTACAAATATAACCCCTCAGACGAATAGTAAATTTTATGATATTATTCAAACTCTTGAATCCACAAGGACCTGGATGGACTTACATCATCGGACACCGAAACCGAGACAGATCCCGAGTTGGTCAGCTGGCGGGATGGACTCGTGGTGGAGGCGCCGCTCTCGCTCCTCAGCAAACGGGGCATGGTCGACGCCCCGCCCAAGGAGACGGGTCTCTGCTGCTGCTGTTGCAAAAAGGTGGGAGGAGCTGCTGTTGCTGCCGCAGAAGAAGCAGCACCATCCTGCCGCCTTATCCAGATCTCGTCCAGCTCCCGTTCGCTGGGCGTTCGCGGCTTGTTGGCTAAACTATTTGTATCACAAGTGAGGCTTTGGTGATTGCTATTGCCCAGTCCAGTGGTGTTCAGGGCCACGTTGCTCGTGCGGATCTCCACGAGCGATGGCTCGAAGAACTGCTTGGAGAGATGGGGAGCGGCGACGGGGAACCGATTGGAGCCATATCGCTGGGAGAACAGGCCCTGCACCGACGAGTACCCGCCGAAGCTGGAGGGAAAGCTGATGGTGTGGGCATTGGAGCTGGCCTTTAGTTTGCTCAATTTCTGGGCCTCCACCCTCAATTCGGGCGTCTCCTGGGCGAGCGTCACCTTGAACTTGCCCTTGATGATGAGTGGCGGCTCCGAGGGCAGGGGAAGCGGCGACACTGGTTCCTGGACAAGAGCCGCCTGGACAGGAGGAATAGCCAAAGGAGTTTCCTTGACCACTATTAGATTCCCAGGAGGATTGCTGGGATTAACCGCTGGTGGTGAAGGTGGAGGTTCCTGGTTATGTAGCAATGCCTTCAAAGCCTTCGGAAGAATCGTGGCCGGAATGGGTGGCGGTGGAGGAGGTGGCGGCGGTGGCGCCTCGTTCTCCTCTATATTCCTCGTATTTATCCTATCGATTTTGTGCATAAACTGCTGCCTCAGCCGCTCCAGATCCTTGAACTTCTCCTTGGAGGCCTCATCCTGCGGCGTCGGTGGTCTGGGTGGCGCCTTCGAAGCCCTCTCCGCTTTGGTGGCTTCCCCTCCAGAGGATCCTCCGCCGCTTAGCTGAGTTCTATCCACGGGTTCATCCTCGTCGTCCTCCTCCTTGCACTGCGACAAACGGCGACGTTCGATGTACGGCGGCAGCAGATAACCCGGTCTCTGGTGACCCGAATACAGATCCACCTTGGCAAACTTCCCGCTGAGACTGAGTCCGAGGCTATGATGCACTTCGTCATCATCGTCATCGGGATCATCCTCATCATCGCTGCTGCTGCCACTGCTGCTGTGAAAGTCAAAGGAATTTGAACGCGGCAGGCAGCGCAGCATCTCGGAATCGATGTGCTGGCCATGTAGTGATCCCGGCAAGCCCCTCAGTCGCTCCTCCCGCTGCTGCTGCTGTTGCTGCTGGGAAACTGGGCCACCACCGCCCAGGCTGCCGGAGGAGGCGGAGTCGGTGATCTGCTCATTGGCACTCGCCTCCGAGTCCGTTTCGTAGCCATCGAGGACGCCCTGCTCCAGGTCATCCATGGTGGACTCGAAGGCGCACTCGAAACTGTCCTCGCCAGCGAATTGCTGGTAGGGATGGGCTTGGCCAGGCGGCGGCTGCTTCTCTTGCTTCTCCTTGGACGCCGCCTCCTGGCGACCATCCTCCTCCTGGACAACTGCATTGGCCAACGGCTGCTGCTTCACCTGCTCCTCGATGAAGTCGCAGTTCGTGGCCATTTTTGGGCTTATTTCTTTGGATTATTGCTCGTAGTATTTATCGATGGTCTATCTATCTCTATGCGCTATGCAAAGTATTTTCTTTTGTACGACATTGATATGCCGCCTTCTTGGGGGAATCTAAAAGAAGGAAAGGGAGAGTTTTGTATATCAATCGGCGGATCAGAGTTCGAGTATCTCTGGGCCTTCGATCATTCCGCTTGTGTTGATATGAGCTGTCTGACACTTTTTTTCCTCCTATTTCTATAAGTAAACAATTAAAAACCAACAAAAGTCAGCAAACATTCTTCGAGAGGTGAAGGTCAACAAATACGCTTCCATATATCAGTAAAAAATCGAGCAAAACAAAAGCTAATTTCATTATTTACGCTTCGTCATCGGCGTGTTTGTCGGAGGAAAAACAAAAGTCAAATGCGAAATTCGACAAATGAAAAAGAAAGAGAAGCTACAGAAGCTGGATGTTCAACATATGGCAGCTGATGGACTGACAGACCAGAAATCAACCGAACATCTACTTAAATATGGAACAAACAGAGGAAATTTGAAATTGGATGGGGAAACACCCTCATTTTTGTGCTTGAAAATACAGCAAATAAATTATACAGAAGAATATTATTTTACAGTTGATCTAAAAGTTGTTCTTAGCCTGAAGAGTTATTGTTAAATCGTTTCTATAAACAATTTAATTATTTGTATAATTTTAGGTTTAGTTTAATATGGTAAAAACAGGCTTCATAACGTTTTCTGAGAAAACGAGTATATCTTTGGCATTAATGAAACACCGAATACAACGAAATATCGCACAATTACAATAAACAAAATAAGAGGAATTTCTCAAGGCAAAACGATGAATCAGAATAGTAATCATAAAGCAAAAATGATTTATCTAAATATATGCCCACCGTGAGTTTAAACGTATCTAAGCAACAAGTGGCACAAATCGTGGCTAAATCGTGGCTAAAACAAACCGCCCTTCCCCCTTGTGCCCCTGAGCCCCTGAAAAACCCCCCCAAAGACAAACCGCAAGTTGTGTAATCGAGCATATGGCGTACGCATTTAATAGATACCAACCGCAATTAATGGCAATTAGATACAAATGTATCTGGTATCCGTGCATATGCTAATGTCAGCGCTTATTTTGCGGTCTTCGGCTGACGGATGATGACGCACACGAGTGGGTGGAGATGAGGAGTGGAGGTGGGGTGGAGGTTCGGGTGACTCAACCCCAAAGAAAGGTCGCCCCGAAAGGTTCGAATCTTGAGAATACTGGATATGTTACTTGGATATATTTCACGCTCGATTCGGTGGAATTTCGCTTAGCTAGAAAATTCGCATTAATTACCGGGGCACGATATTTTCTCTGACTCAATTCCAGTTAAGCTGCAATGCATCTGGATGCAATGGATAACTAGCATGCAATTATACGACCCCCAAAGCACCTCCCTTTATTTAATTGCATAACTGAATCAATTGCAGTCAGCTGATCGTTCGGCTATATGCGATATATCTATATGTATCTATTAATTATTGGCCATAGTATTAGTACCTCTACCCGCTGTTTCCGAGTCTCTTTGCATCTGCGGTTGACTTTGCCAGACACTCTGGCGTCTCTGCTGTGACTTGTGGCTTTTAAGGGGGAAATTTTATATTTCTTTCTAGATCTTAAACTTTTGAAAGTTTAGAAATGAAGCCCCTCAAATTCCGACGCACAAACGTGACTCTCCACCACATTTTTCTCCCACTTCCATTTCCATTTCGAATTTCTAACGCATTGTTTGCACTTTGTTTTCAAACAGCCAATGCATATTGTATTTAAGCATTGAACTCTCGTCACGTAATCGATATTATTGTTTAATTGAAGAAACCGCACTGCCAAACAAAAAAGCAAGAAAGGCAACCGCAAAAATATCGCAGGCAAACTTTTAGCAACAAAGAAACGTCAGCAGCGTCGACGACAAAATAATTAAAAGCAAAGCCAACGCAAAATTGACATTCAAACAATTTTCTGTTTCACTTGGGCACATAAAATGTCGCACGAGAAGTGAATAAAATAAAATTACAGTTTTACTGGGTGCAGTTTGCGGAGGGGTCAGCCAGTTCCAAATGACATAAGTTGAGAGACTACGAGTTGTCAATAAATTATCCAAAGCTGCTTTTCCAATGGGTGGTGTAATAAAATAAACTGAATATTCAGCAGTCGTTTTAGGAGTTCTTTGATACCCTACAAAATTCTGGAGAGCTATTATATCAAGTAAATCTCTAGTAAATAATTTCTACATAATTAAATTTGCATGCTATTATGGCATTCCAATTATAATCACATTAATTTTAAAATATTTATCAATAATAACTTGTTAAATCATTTGATATGATACATGTATGATTTTATATCATTTTTGACAACTTTTGTTTTTAGAAATATTTCCTGTTTCTGACATTGTATTGTAGATTCCCAAAATATCCGAAATAATATATGCTTTAACTTTATTTGTAGAATTTTTGACAACTTTAAGAAGTTTCATCATCATATCCCACTAAAACTCGGTACCAATGAAAATATCTAAATATGCTAATGCATTTGCATCGTTGACTTTGGCACTTGATATTAGGTTGGTGCGCAAACAAATATACAAATGAACATATAAACAGAATAAAGCACACAATGAGTGGGCTGTAATTGCTGTTAAATGATGTAGGATTGCCAGCTGCTCAAGGCACTTTCACAAGTGATTGAATGATCGTCACTGTGCTCTTTGGAGGTGCTTTATGCAATCAATCCGTTGACACTCTCACGTGATCCCATAATAGATGACTCACTTCACTTGTCGGTCAGATGGCTGATAGTGCAAATGTCACTTGCTTTTCATTGACTTCGAGCGATTCATTAAACGCTGTCAGTCAGCGCATAATTGATATTCCATTCGTCGCTAGGAATGATAATAACAAAGTGGGCTAAGCATTTAGAAAGCGAATATCCGACAAGGTTAAAGACATTTCCTACTCAAGATAAGAACTCGAACTCCAAACAATTAACTCTGCCGCAAGAGCGTCAGGAAATTAGCGTTGCAATGTCTGTGGGATTCGAGTGGGTGGAGGATCGTGGGATTTCGCAGTTTCCTGCTAATTGGTAAACTTCTCCACTTTCATCTAGCCGCCAATTACAACCCTTTTGCGGAGTTATAAAGTTAGGTTCTACTCTCAAGACTACAAGCTCTATTTGGCACTTCAAAATGAGTTACAAAATTAAGTCTTGATAATTTTGTTTAATAACTATAAAACAAAACACCAAAAACTCTGTGAAATGTCAGAAAATATTACTCTGATAAACAAATTATTCTTCATTATTACCCATTAAAGTTGTTTTCAACGATTAAGGCAGTTTTCCATGAGAACCACTTTTTTGTACCGCTTGACAATTTAATATCATTATTAATCAAGCAACGACAGCAGTTATGACAATGTATTCTGAGCAAGCAATTTAAGGTTACATACTAAAGACAACCTGAATTAAGTTGCTATAGGAGTTACAGAAACTATAAAGAAAAAATTCGATACGCTTGTCTAAACATTTTTAGTCTCCATTAAGCTTAAGCCATAAAAATCAACGTGTAGACATTTATTATTAATACTTAAAAATTCACATCTATCAATTTATAGATATTTATTTACAAACATAGATATTAACCCAAAAAATCAAAAAAAAAAAAAAAAAAAAAAAAAAAAAGGAGTCAGTTAAAAATAAATAAAAATCTTGTACGATTTGTGGTATCTCTGTAATTATTTCATCATTTTAAATAACTTTATTTCATAATTCAAAAACCATTCTTTTAGAGCAATATCACCAATAAATGACGCTTTTAAAAATATGAAACCCCAGAAGTAGATCAAAAAATGCGAGCAACGCAATCCGCAGACCAAGTAAATTCCAATCTTAAGCCCCGGAGTTTTTAAACGTTTCGTAGCCGCAATAATTGGCTGCGATCGAAATTGAGAATTTCCTCTTTCGCCCGGTTACTCAATGCCTCGAGCTCGACGGTAATCAAATTGTTGGCTGCGCTGGCATTTCATTTTCAATTCGCATTTCCATTTGCTCAGCAGAAAGCCGAAGAGACCTGGGGCGTTATTATCTGAACATTTTCCGATCGGCTGCTGTTGTCAAGCGCAATTCAATTTGCGTTTTCCACTCTCGTCTCGACTCGACTCGTTTTTCTGTGTCACTTTTGGAGAGGCCCTGTCTGTCTTTCTGTATGTTTCTCGAGTCGACGTCAGTGTCACGTGTTTGGTTTTTTGCCATTGTTTAAGTTGTTTTCTCTGTTTTTTATTGTTTTCTGTGCTCTTTTTGCCATTGTTATTCATTATGTTTTGCACTCGGTTTCAGTTTCGATTTCTGTTTATGTCAACAAACGGCAGACTGAAGGGACGTAGCCAGGCGGAGCCGAGCCGGTCAAGGTGGCAGAGCATCTAACTTAATATGATCTATGGGCTAGTTGAAGATCACTTTACGTTGCCAAGAAAATGTGGGTAAAGTGGGTAGGGAAATTTCACAGACTAAGGCCCGTTAAAATCAAATTTAATGTAGAGATAAAACTTTAAAGCCTACTTTAAATCTAAAGATCAAAGAAGATTTTTTAAATAAAAGTTAAGGATTTTTTTACAGATTGCAATAAATCTTAAATACTTTAAAATAGAACAAATAAACAACAGATGTCTTCGCTTAATTTTTTCCCACAATTTTTAACCTTTTTCAGTAGTACTTCTTACAAACTTTTGGAAGTCCCATTAGCCTTCCCCTTATTAGCCATCAACACTTGCATTGGTTCCCCGTGAAATTGGCAAAGTAATTACCACAATTACGGAAAAAAGGAAGGGATATCCAAGGAAATGCCGCAAGAGGTAATAATGGAATATAGTCCAGGTGTCGCAGAAGTCATTTGGAAATTTCAATTACAGAAGTACATAAATAAGTTTTCCAAGTCCAAGTGCATAACGTTTAAGTAGGTGAGAGTGGGTTATACAGATAGTTATTTAATAAAGAATAGTATAATTCGGTTTCTTTATTGGCGAAATTGCCAAACCTAATTATGGAAATTTTTGAAAAAGATCAAAAATCTTTTTTTAGTCTTTTTTTTATAAAAGAACAGTTAACTTAAAAAATCTTTTTAATAATAATTAATTTGTATTCTAAACTGGATATTATTGAAACAGAGATACACCACAGGCATTATCGTTTATAGAGCAATTATAGCCGCTAAGATCGTTCAACTGGCTTGCGTTTATGGGCTATATGAGCCATTAAGCAATCAGGGGATCCAGAACAAAAGCCAGTCAAACCGCATTCGTGTGTCCGGCTATGGCCGAATCTGCGTAGAGCGTGGAGTAGAGAAGCAATTTATAATACTCAAATACATGCAATTATTGATTTTATAAGTAATGCCGTGTTATCTGATTGTTTTGCCATCCGAACGGCCGCCTCCCCAACCGCAAAAGCTACCCCAAGTGAGCGAATAATATTCGCACGTTTCCCCTATCGAATTGGGAGGGAATCCGCACTCCAAAGTCGAGACAATTCAGTTGCGTCGCGACTGCGGAAGCCTCAGGTCTTCAGAGCTCAAAGGAGGCAATCGAATTAAATAGGATAGGATTTATAATAAAATAAGGAAAAGAAGTAAAGCCCAGAGATGCAAGTACCTCGGGTTAAGCTCTTGATGGGCTCGGGAGCCATGTTCGTGTTTGCCATTATCTATGGCTGGGTAATATTCCCCAAAATTCTCAAGTTAATGATATCAAAGGTTCGCTAGAGAGAACACTCAAAAAATTATTTTTTCTTAAATATAGAAAAAAAATTTTTCTGTGCTTCAAAAAATATTCTAAAAGAGGAAAAATTTTCTAATCTTCAGAAAAATTTTCTAATCTTCAAAAAATTCTGAATTGAACGAGTTTTTTTAGAAAATATTTTCTGAAATACAGAAAAATCCATTTTTTCTAAATTATAAGGTTTATTTTTCTAATCATCCTTTCTTTTTTTGAGGGTTAAAATCGCCATTGATTTTAGAAAAAAAAGACTGAACTTTTCTAAAACTAAAAAAAAATGCCATTAAAATTATAAATATTTCTACATAATAGAAATATTGTTTTTCTAATAACAGAAAAATTTTTGAAGATTTTTCTAACATTTTGAAAAAAATGTGTGATATTAAGAAATATTTTTCTAGAAAATAAAAAATTTAACCGTATTTGATCGATTTCCTTTCTTATAGACTTTTAGAAAAGTTTTTTTTAGCCTAAGAAAAATCGCTATTAATCGAAGAAAATTTCCGGGATTGGTAGCCTAGGGGTCTAACGCGTGCGTGCATGCATATGTTATTCAAGCTTGCGGCTGCAAGAGTGAGTTCAAACCCACGTCGAGACGAAAAACTCGTGGTGTCTTTTTGTTTTTTTTTTAACACTAATAGTTACATATTAATAAAAAAATGTATTGCATTTTGTTTAAGTTTTTCAAATTTGAAACATTCAATTACTGTTACTATTGAACCATAATAAATAATAAATATATAAATATTAATATTAATCAATAAATATTTAAAAGTAAAATTAAATGATAAACTAAAAGGAATAACCAGAAGAAAGCCAGATCAATTTGAGTAAAAATAGGAGAACAAAATGTGAATAGACTTTGTACAGCGCCTCACGTGATGCTTCCGTGGCGTAGCTAGTAGAGTGCTTGACTGCAAACTGTGAGGCGCGAGCGGTTAGCGGTTCGAATCCCGCGTGCGGCGACCAAGATGTTTTTCTCAAAATAGTAAGTTATTGGGTTTTTATATTTATAATTTGTAATTTGTACACTCATTTCAGTTCCAATTTGAAACCACCCATGTGCTCAATTAAAGGAAATTAAAATAAGGTGACAAACAAGAACGAAAAAAAACAACACAAAGGCCGTGGCGTCACAGAAACAACCGGGTATAATTCCGAAGCCCGAAAATAGATTTTTGTATTTTCTGAATTTGAGAAATTTTTTTTTTATTTAAAAAATATTTGTCTATATTTAAAAAAAACCGTATTTCTATTTTTTAGAAAACCTTTATTTCTAAATTCTAAGAAATAATTTTTTACTTTCTAGCAAAATATTTCTAAATTGCAGTCTATTTTTTTTGATTTTTAGAAAAAACGTCTTTGATTTTAAAAACCTACTTTCTTTAATATAGACAAAATCGCCAGTAAAGCAAATTCATAGGCGATTTTCTAAAACCAAGGGCGATTTCAGTCGAGTTTTTTTTTGGGTGAAGGTAATCTCTGTGTTCGATTTCTAATGGGAACTGTTACTCTCGCTAGCAAGTAACCCTTAAGCCGGGATCGGATGTTCGAGAACTGTGGTCCAACACTCCATTCCCCCTGCACTTCTACATCTACGTTTTCAACGTCACCAATCCCGATGAGGTCTCCGAAGGAGCTAAGCCACGTTTACAGGAAGTGGGTCCCTTTGTATTCGAGTGGGTTTCTATACCAGTTTTAAACAGATGATTTTTAATAATTTTTTTTTTTATTGAGTGAGTGGAAGGACAAGTATGACTTGGAGGATGATGTCGTAGAGGACACCGTTAGCTTTAACATGCGGAATACTTTTATATTTAATGCAAAGGATTCGCTTCCATTGACGGGCGAGGAAGAGATCATTCTTCCGCATCCCATAATGCAGGTAAGATACAGATAGATAGAAGAAAATTCTAACAAAGCTTAAATACAGTACCCTAATTATAAAAATAAATTTTGTTTAAAGAGATATAAAATATTTAAATACTACCTACGTTCTTATAATTGCCTTTAAAATATTTAAAACATATTTCTGTGAAATTGTACTGCAGTTTTAGACTTTTAAATGTAATATTCTCATTTGAACACTTCTAGATTTTCGTTTTATTTTTTGTGAATTTTTTTTTAAACTGTAGGTTGCATTAGAATTTTTATAGCAACCATTAGAGATTCTGTCAGCGCATGGTCAGAGTCATTGGAAAATGCATTTAAGGCGCCAGCTAATGACCACGTGGCCCATTGTTGCCCATGTGAATTATGCAAAACGCATTCCCAGACCCAAAATAGCAGCCACAAAATTAACCCATTAAATGTGAACAAAATAGACTGCCAAGTGTGTAGCGTCTTTTGTGTGTTTCCCAAATTAAAATTGCAATTATTTGAAGATTTATTGGATGCGATAATTATATCTTTCTACTAATTTCACAGCCTGGCGGCATCTCGGTTCAAAGGGAAAAGGCTGCCATGATGGAGCTGGTTTCCAAGGGTCTAAGCATAGTATTTCCGGATGCCAAAGCCTTTATAAAGGCCAAGTTTATGGATTTATTTTTCCGAGGCATCAATGTGGACTGCTCTTCGGATGAATTTGCGGCAAAGGCTCTGTGCACCGTTTTCTACACGGGAGAAGTGAAACAGGCCAAGCAAGTGAATCAAACGCATTTCCTATTTTCCTTCATGGGTCAGGTGAGTTTCGTCCAATCATTTGAGGTTTAAATATTCTTAATAATACTATTAAATTACAGGCCAACCACTCGGATGCTGGAAGATTTACGGTGTGTCGTGGAGTGAAGAATAACAAAAAGCTGGGAAAGGTGGTTAAATTCGATGACGAGCCGGAGCAATCGATTTGGCCGGATGGCGAGTGCAATAACTTTGTGGGCACTGACTCGACAGTTTTTGCTCCGGGTCTTAAGAAAGAAGATGGCTTGTGGGCCTTTACCCCTGACTTGTGTCGATCCCTGGGAGCTTATTATCAACACAAGTCATCGTATCACGGAATGCCATCGATGAGATATACCCTGGATTTGGGAGATATAAGGGCGGATGAGAGGCTCCACTGTTTCTGCGAAGATCCCGAGGATCTGGACACGTGTCCTCCGAAGGGAACCATGAACTTGGCGGCCTGTGTTGGTGGTCCTCTAATGGCATCCATGCCTCATTTTTATCTGGCCGATCCAAAGCTAATCGCCGATGTGGATGGTCTCAATCCCAACGAAAAGGATCATGCAGTCTACATAGACTTTGAACTTGTAAGGAAAATCGCTCCTTTTTTTGGAAATACTTTAATTATTATCTTATTTATTTTCAGATGTCAGGAACTCCTTTTCAGGCTGCCAAGCGGCTGCAGTTTAATCTGGACATGGAGCCAGTGGAGGGCATTGAGCCCATGAAGAATCTGCCCAAGGTTATATTGCCCCTATTTTGGGTGGAGGAGGGTGTGCATCTCAACAAGACCTATACCAATTTGGTCAAGTACACATTGTTTTTGTGAGTTTTTCTCGACTATTTATTATCCCTATATTATTTTTACTTTCTTTAATATTTTTCCAGGGGCCTGAAAATCAACTCAGTCCTGCGTTGGTCCTTAATCACCTTCTCCTTGGTGGGCCTGATGTTTTCCGCCTACCTTTTCTACCACAAATCCGATAGTTTGGACATAACCAGCATTATGAAGGAAAACAACAAGGTGGAGGATCTGACCAGCACCAAAGAGCCAAAGCTGCCGCCACCAGCTAAGCCAAGCACTTTGCAACCAGTTCCAGGGGCAAATACGCTGATTCCAGGCACCAATCCTCAACCTCCCATCAATCTCAAGATGGAACACCGGGAGCACCGGGAGCGCTACTAACCGCTACTTCTGGCGATTCCAGCGATCTCTTCACCATAGTCGTAGTCCAATGCACCTGTGTGTAGTCCAATGTGAGCTAATAAATTCAGACAGATATAGGCACATTCGTCTGGGAAACTGGTCGCTAATCGATGATGATGACGATCGTTGATCGCAGATGACAAGATCTGTGCGCTCTACTGACACCAATCAGTGATCAGAGATCAGTGAAATCGTTCAAGTCTCGCAGCGAAAAACGCAAGACCAGCAATCGAAGTTCGAGATCAGCGATCGCATGAGTCTGTGAATTGACAAATTGTTTTTTAACAATGCTTGCAGTATTTGCAAATCGAAAACAATTGCGGAGACAGGCGGCAAAGTTAAACAGGAAATGTTGCGTTGGTTATAAATGATTTGTAAACATTCAGCAGTATTTACTCTTACTCTTTTCAAGAAAATTTAAGAAAATATGAAATGGAAGTGTGAATTTACTGCAAGGAAGAGACCTACTTACAGTTGAAAAGGGAACAACAATTTTCTTATTTCTTTGTTTCTTTTATAAAATTTATTTAACTTATAAAAACAAAATTTCTTTCAAGATCTTAATTTCTATGTTGCTCCACATCTCAGTGGCCTTCGAGGATCTCCAACTATGCGATCCTCCAAAATAGTTGTGTCCTTTGGCAGTTCAACGAACTCTAAAAGATCCGCTAATTGTCCACAATTAAGTTCTGCTTCTTCGACAAAGAAATCCTCATCCAAATCCTTTATATATATCTCCCTAACTTTATCGTGGCTTATCTCCAAGTAATTGAGATCCTTTAGTTGAGGCAACATGTCCATGTGAACCGAGGTCATGTTGTCGTAGGTAAAGCTCAATCGTTCTAATCCCTTGGCAGAGGAGATTCGAGGTAAATCTAACAGATTTTCAATGCCAGTGACATCCAGATCTACTAATTTAGAGGCCTTGGAAAGAAAGTCAAGTCGGGACAGGTTGGTATTGGCCACATAGAGTTGCTCTAGATCTTCTGGTTGGGATATTTTCAACTCTTTTAGATTTAAGTTATCCTCCAGTTGGACAGCAATCACTCGACCATCCAATTTGACTGTTTCAAGACCACAGTTGGTGGCCTGCAGCTCATCGATACTGGCTGTTAAGTGGAGATTTTTAAGTTGAGGATTAAACGATAGTAACAGTTGCTCTATTTCTGAAAATATGTTGGAAGAAATCCGCTCTAGTTCATTACTTCTGGCTGAGAATGTTGTCAAATGCTTCTGCTGATCTCTGAAAAGATCTCCAGGCAGTTCCCTTAGTTGATTGCTATCCAGATTTATGGATTTTAGAGATCCCAATTGTGAGAAGGTGTACTGAGAAATAATCTTTAACTGATTGTTGGATAAGTTAATTTTCTGCAGCTTCTTAAGGGGCAGGAATATTGTGCTAGGAAGATCCTCCAGTTGATTATCGGACAAATTAAGCTCCTCCAATTGTGTGGCCAATTCGAAGGTGCTGCTATCCAAAATTCGTAGGCTATTTCCTCCGAAATTAAGTCTTTTCAAGTTTTCGGCCCCCTCAAAGCACTCTCTTTCGATTTGATGAAGCTCACACTCCAAAACATCTAATTCCACAAGTTGATGAAGATGCACAAAGATTCTTTTAGGCAAATTAAACACATTCGAACTGTGAAGAATGAGAGATTCGTAGTTCCTTAGACTTTTAGTCACCTCTTCTGTGAAGTAGGCAACCTCTGAGATATTAGGATAGTCCAACTTTGTGCAAGTATTTTCCCGGCAATCCAGACTCTCAACTGCAACTTCCTCGCGTTCTTGTGACTCACAAATCGACAGACCGATGATCAGTGCGTTCAAAATATAGTTCAGATAGTTTAGCATCAGCATCTTGGCAGAAGAAGACCGACTGAGCTTATAACTGGCTTGGAGGGGCATTTTAATACGAAACCAGAACACAACCTTCAAAAACAACCCTACCCACGAGTCGAACAGGTCTTTAAGTGTTTGTTTGTTATACCCGTTACTCGTAGAGTAAAAGGGTATACTAGATTCGTGCAAAAGTATGTAACAGCTAGAAGGAAGCGTTTCCGACCCCATAAAGTATATATATTCTTGATCAGGGTCACTAGCCGAGTCGATCTAGCCATGTCCGTCTGTCCGTCTGTCCGTCTGTCCGTCTGTCCGTCTGTATGAACGCTGAGATCTCAGAAACTACAAAAGCTAGAAGGTTGAGATTTCCCACACATATTCTTTGGCTTCCTACGCAGCGCAAGTTTATTTTAGCCGAGCGCCACGCCCCTCTAACGCCCACAATCGCCCACTAACGATTTTAAAATGGGTCCTGCGCCCACATCTTTAAAGATTTCCGAGAAGTATAAATGCAATTTTGTTGTGTATATTTATACCTATCGAAATGTAGAAGACATTTTTCAAATCAGACCATTCATTAAAAAGTTATACGCAATCAAAAATTATATATCTATCTCCCTCGCACTCCCTTTAGCTGAGTTACGATTATTAGTCGGGACACCAACCCGACTCAGCGTTCGCACTCCCTTTAGCTGAGTGACGGGTATTAGATAGTCGGGACAACAACCCGACTATAGCGTTCTCTCTTGTTTTGTTTGCATTCGTTTTTATTTTTTTTTTTTTGCTTCAAAACGATCCGCAACCCGGTTCGATTTTGGGCTAATAAAATTTTATTATTCCTCTCAATGAATATTAGCAGTGGGGTTTTATTTTGCTTTTATTTTTGTTTCCTTCGCTCCGTTGGGAAATAATTTCAGACATTTGGCATAATAACCGAGCGATAAGCACGTTCTCTCGATTCTCCACTTCAGAACGAAGTTCTCTGAGCGGATCGCCATGCTATATAGCTATATAGTGATATGGTTTATGGTCTATGGGCAACAGTTGTGTCAGCTGATATCAATCCAAAAGTATGCCAAGTCGGGCTACATTGGGTCTGGCCGGTATCTGATAACCATGAGAACTGCCTACAAGTAGTTGCTTTTGATTGTCATCTTTTTTATGGACGATGGTCTAGACTCTAGATCTGTTAACGATTGGCATTTTTATAAAACAAAAATGTTTTCCATTAAATATAAGCTTTTTATATGTGTTATCTTTAACTATCTTAAGTTGCAATCTTAATTTGATTTAATTCCTTATCATGAAAGTGTGTAATGTATTATATTAGCCCGCATTTGTTATACAATTTAATTTAGTTATAAATTAGATCATAAAATCAGATTACGTATCATACAAACTTGTTTTTTTCGGCTTGAATAGCAAATATTATTGTTGCTTGTGAATATTAAAATATTATTCTACAACTTTTGAAAGCATTTCCGCCTTGAACAAATTTTCAGAAGCACTTGGCAATAAAGTGCCCTGCCTTAATGACAACTGACTTATTTTCCGGCGGTTATATCATCCAATTTCGTCATCAGTGCAGTCAAATAGGTAAAAGTAAAACAACCTTTGAATATCTTAAACATTTAGCGCTCGAATGACCAATAAACCTAATGAAATAAATCAAGTGCCATAAACCGAAGGCGCCATATAGAATCACCCACATTTTTACGTGTATTTGCGGCGTGACCGATTGCCCGCTATATGTTCATTTATATAGCCAGTCAGTCGTATATCGCATTTGTTTACCCTGCTAAACTATTGGGGGAAATTTGATTTGAATAAAGTACAGACGGCGGGGACAAAGTCTGCTGGAGGCACAGCAAAAAAACGATGGTAATTCTCACTCTTTTTCTCGAGACTCTCGTATGCAAAGTAATTGCGGCAAATTGAATTGAACAAAGGGGGCGCACAGATGACAAAATTTATCGCTAAACGAAGTCATGCCGTTTCAATTGAGATACAACAACAATAGATATAGCAAATGGCCTGGAAAAAAATAAATTCTTGTATCGAATAATTTAAAAACCATTTAAAAACCATAATTAGCCCCAATGAAAATAGGCAGATCAATTGCGGTTTATATTTAAGTGATAAAATTACCTTACCTAAGCCGAGGAAATCCCACTCAAACAAAATCGAATGGGAAACAAATTTTCATAAATTTCAACAGGCAAATAAATTTGTTTGCATACAAATTAATAAAGCTTTACTTGTCTTTGCGGCTCGTCATAATCTTTTTGTTTTCACTCGCAAAGCTGTAAATAACAAATTGAGCGACTGAAAGCAGGTTGAACGTGTTCTCCAGCCTGTTCGATGATAATATATTGGTTTAAAATTGTATATTTTTCCACTGACATGTCACCAATTTGCAGGCGAAAGTTCTAGGTTGATATTATTTATTAGTGTTTTCGTGTAAAAGGCAAGCGCAAAAGGTGGCATACATTCTTGCTAATCATTGTTGAACCCCTGCCAAATGGCTGTTTTTAAAAATAAAACGAGGCATGAAACAGTTAACGGAAGTGCCACAGTTCCCTTATCGAACCGAACCCCAAATGCCCTCCAAACATTCTTCATTTGATAAATAATGAGTCATGCTGGCAGCAATCAGCAAAACTGTATATTAAAGCAAAAATATAGTCCATGGCAATACAAAAGACTTTTACGATCCACAAAATTTTAAATGGCTGATGTGTAATAATAAATGTATTTTAAGAAACCTTTCCACGCGCCTATTTTTCTGGATAGGAAAATCCAATGAGCCATTGAAAATACCCTTACATAAAGGTGTATTTTTGAATGGTTAAGTGTCTGGCCTTATGTCCATTATCAGCAGCCAAGAGATTTCCACCTTTTGTTCAGCAAATCGCCAAGTAAACACTTCACGATAAGAGAACATGGGTAGACTGGCTGAAATTGTTCAGCAGAGAGATATTGTGCAATGTGTTTTGTTTCGAATTTAGTAGTAGATCTCTGAATGGAGCCAACGGAGCGGGAACTTCACAGAGCGGCGAAAAATAATGAATAATAAATGGGAAACCACAAACATGTGTCAAAATAATGATGACAACTGAATAAGACCGATTTTTCAGCTTCCACAGACAGTATAGAACATCATTTTCAATTTGGATTTTTCTTTTGAGGAATACAAGTTCATTAAAATTAATAAGCTGGTCAAGAAATATTTTGAATGAAATCTGGTATTTAAAATAATGATAAGTTTAAGAAATAAATAGATTTCTGAATCAGAACTTTTAATTTTTTAATAGAATACTTCCATGTTTCGACCTAAAGTTTCGCAACGAACTGTACACGTAATACATATATGAACCATATTATTTATTTATTTTTTTGCAAAATCAAAACACCATGAATAGAATGTAAATTATATAGAACTGATGATCATTATTTGAGCATTATATAGGAGGGGCTTATCTGGCGAGGCGTTTGGCGGTCATCGTTTGGAATCAGTTTCAGGTCGAACGTGAATCGTGGAGCACGCCAAATGAACGTCCGGAATTGTTTGCCGATTGGATTCTGGATCTGTTTGCTGATCTCGTTGGCGGTCGCCGATGAGGATGCGGATGTGAATACCCCTGCCGATGAGGAGAGCCCATCGAGAATCGTGCTGGTTTCCAGTCTAGAGGGTCATTGCCAAACGGAGGGCAAGGTGACCAGCTGCAGGGGCTTCAACTTCGAGAGTGAGGATGAGAAGGCCACTTTTGATCTGCCCACGGAGGTGAGAATCGCCGAGGATGGCACCACCTACGAGGTGGGCGATGAAGAACCCTCCAGATCTCTGATCTTTGAGAACTGCTCGTTTACCAACTTTCCCCTGAGACTTTTCTACACCCTGGAGGTCAGTGAATTGGATATGCGAAGCTGCGGCATCCGATTCGTTTACTGGGAGAACTTCTCCATCGGTGCTGATAAGTTGGTGATCCTTCTGCTAAGTGACAATGCTATAGAGATGCTGCCCATGAGAACCTTCAGAGGAGCAGGCAATCTGGAGTTCCTCTTCCTGAATCGCAATAGGCTAAGGAAAATAAATGCCGGTGCCTTTGAGAATCTGAAAAAGTTGCAGTATCTGGATTTGACAGGAAATCAACTGGAGGATCTACCAAGGGATATATTCGCGGAACTGAAAAGCCTGAGGCACGTGGGCCTGGCCGAAAACCAACTGACCATTATTGAAAGCGATCTATTTGCCCAAAATCCGGGACTCCTTTCGGTGGCCATGCAAAACAATCGACTGCAGGAGGTGGGCGAGTACGCCTTTCGCTCGAAGGGACGGGATCACCAGATGCAGTATGTAGATCTATCGCATAACCCGGGGCTAAAAGTGCTGCTGCTGAATATTAATGCCACCAATCTGACCGTTCGCAATTGTTCGCTGGACCGTGTCAATTTGTATGGCTCGGTGACGAATGTCGATCTGAGCGATAATCGCGTGCGGGAGCTGTACTTTCCCGCCTCGGAGGCCCTGGAGCATTTGGTGCTGCGCAACAATTCGCTGGTTCAGTTGGCCTCCTTGAGCCGGGTTCCCAGGCTGCGGCACTTGGATGTGGCGGATAATCCGGACTTGGGTCAATTGCCCGAAGGTTGGCAAACGCCGCACTTGGAAATGCTGGTCCTGCGAAACACTGGACAAGTGGAAGTGCCACTGGAGGCTCTGCAGGGTATGCAAAACCTGCGAAAACTGGACATTTCCGGCAATAATCTCACGGAAATCGATCCCTCATCTTTTCCCACACTCACGCAACTAACTCACTTCTATATCCATGGCAACAATTGGAACTGCTTCAGTCTGCGACTCGTAATGGATGTACTTATCCGAGGTAATGGCATTACCTATACCGTGGATGACTACGATCCGAATTTCCCGGGGGAATATTTCCATGGCATCGCCTGCATGTATCGTCTGTCCGAGAAGGAGTCACTGGACTCTAGCTCCTCCGCGGAAATCTCAGCCAGTGTGGAAGCCTCGCCAAAGCCAAGCAATTCGGATCCCAGCGAAGTGGAAAAACTGCGGCAGGAACTCAAATCGGTGGTTCAGCACTTTGAGGCCAAGTTCGATATGATCTTTAGTCAACTCGCTCAGCTCAATGAGCAAATGCAGGCCTTTGAAGTTCTAAACAAAACTATTTGGAGTCAGGTCACTCTGTCTGTTTAATTGATTTTAATTTAATTATTGTCCTTTAATTGTGATCAATACATTTTGTAATCTTTGCATTTAAAAATTGTTTAATGAATGACATAAATTTATCTTTGTATTTTCATTTGAGTTTCTGTTTAAATAAAGGAAATAAGGTTTCGTTGTGGGCTGAAGAATTCGCGTATTTTGAAAAATTTCTTTGTCTTCTTTATGAAAATCAATAACCGTCTTTTATACCCCTCTTAAAATTCCTTTTTGTACGTAATATTAATTTTTGCCGTACAAGCCCTAAATCTCATTTGTTTTCCCATCCCCAACCCCCAAAACCAATGCAATTTGCAACATGAGCACATCTGGTAAATATTTTTTTGTCGCTGTGTCGTATACCTACAATAATATTTAAACAAAAATATTGATTTTCGAGCGAAGCAAAGTCGGGGCTTTGTGTTCTCTTGCTGAAAGATATTGAAAGAGGTTCATTCAACTCGGGCAAACAAACAAATAACAAATGCGACGAGAAAACTGGGGGCACAAAACACAAGATTGAGGGTCTTGGAAAAACTTGCGTAATTGAAAAAGGCCGGAAAGTCAATTACAAAACAAATATTTCCCAAAAGTAAACAATAATATTAAATTCGATCGAATGACTGTAAAATTTAGTAGTTAATTGCTAGTCCAGTATTTTCTTCTTCTTTTGCCAGCAGTTTCAATTATTCATGCTTTATTCCTCGGATTCGTTCGATCACAATTTATGGGTAACTAATTGCTAAGATAAACAAACAGTTTGGGTTTCAATGCAGCCACTTGGAAGGAAGGCGAAACAAAAATATACTGAATCCAAATCCCACGGAACTCGACGATCAGCGATCACTGGGTGAACTGCTGATCCGTAGTATCGTGTGCATGTGATTAGGAATAAATATACACAGATATCCATCCGTACACGAATATCGAATAAAGTTTGTGTATATTGGCTGTGCAATTTTTTGTTTAACGGTAATTGGCACACAACTCGTGCCGATCGGCCAACTGTAAATGCGAACATTAAATATTACCATAGAGTGCGACTATCTGGGATTTCTAGTGGGTATATCAGCAGATCAAAGTTCGCAATTTTCTGCCGCCTAACTTTCGTGGTGATCTCTTAAAATTTCTGGGAATTCATTTGAAGTGGGTTTGCTTCATAATTAGTCAATGTCGAAAAGATAGTGATATGATAACGTATATTTAAGTTACTCAATATTTAAGAATTAGGTTTATATGACTGAGACTGGGGTAAAAAAAAACTATTTTGATCGAAATACATAAATTCGAAAAGGAAAGAACTAGATTTTTAAAATAGTTAAATATATAAAAAATAATTCAAGTAAAATTACTGTATTATATTTCTTGTCGTAAGATTTTGTTGTTTTATTTTATGGAGGCAAACCAATAATTTTTCTTTTTCAGGAATATTTTTAAACTAAGCCTCATTCTGTTAAAAACACAAATTGACATTCTTGGCCATGTAAAATAGTAAATCAAAGTGCAAATTCCCCAAAAGATCAACAAATCAAGACAAGCATTTTTGGGAATTTTCCCAAAGTGTCCCAAACGGGGGAATTTCCCACCCACTCAACTTAGTCACAGATACAAAGCGAAGGCGAAGAAATGGGGGAAAATCAAAACGTCACGAGCTCATATCAACACAAAAGAAATATCAAGGCACAGAAATAAATCAAGTTTTCACAAATATCAAAAATTAAATTGCCACCCACCTTTTGTGTGTTTATTAATCAGTAACTCGATGTGTTTTTGATTCGATTTGCAGAATTGCAATCGTCGATTCTCCGGTTAAAAAATTAATTTAACACGCTCACACGGACAGGGACGCACACATACACATTCACTTATACATCCACATTCCACATTCACGTTCACTTGAACGGGTAAAAAACAAAACTTTTGTAAACAATTTCGCGATTAGGCATTTAGCTGCGCTAAAAATGATTGTAAATAAGAAGAAACGTAACGAATTAGCTGCTTGTTGTGCTGGCGTATTATATATTTTTCGAGATTAGAGCGAAATTATAATAACTATTTTCGCTGGATGTCCAAACACTTTGGAGGGTGGAGGTGTTGACTTTTCAGATTAGATTACACTCATTTCACTCGGCTAATTATCAGCCATTTTGTTCAACACCAAATAAATCACAAACACGAAAACAGCAGCAACAAAAAAACCAAATCAATGTTTAATAAAACCACAAAAAAAGTGCGGGCAATAAAATAAAAATAGAAGAGAAAAAAAAGAAAATTATTCAGGCGCGCGCTTCCACTTTGGACTCAACTTTCCAATGGAAGAGGAGGAGATTGGAAATTGGAAGTTCTCTGCTGGCTACGTCACTCAATCATTTGATCATTTATTTTTATTAAGAATCAATTCCATTATTACAAGAAAAAACAACGGGAGAAAAAAATCATCAGCAAATCGGGGCAAATAAAAGTATTTGTCCGTGGAAAATTTCCAAACGTTTTTGCTGCTCTTTCCAGCAGGCAAAGCCATGTGTTTGTTTGTATGCGTAACAGCTGATCGCAGATTATTGATTTTTTATAAGTACAGGAAAAGTGATTAGGGTTTTTTTTCTGTTTTATGAAACAAGGAAGTTTCTCAATTAATTTGCGCACTCGCAAGAACAAAGATCGATTGTTTTATCGTTCGGTTTTTTGTTGCTGTTGTCGCTGCAATTGCAATCCATTCGCGCACAATTAAAAGCTGTGTACGCAGCTTATCACAGAAGTAATATTATTGCTGAGCACCCACTTGTGCGATCTGCTATCCTGATTATCGGGAACTTGTTTTGTACACTGATTTAAAAACGGCTGACGGAAATTCCAAACACTGATCGCGCGACTTTTTCCACAGGCGAAAAATTGTTGAGCGAAAAACGAAGACACGGCAACAACAAAACCGAAAAAACAATAAATGAATGATAGTTCCTTCTCTTTCTTCCGGGAGGCGACATTTGTCCAAACCTATCGGGTGGATATCGAATAAAAACCACGCGTTAGTGCCTTTCGGTTGGAGTATTGGAAAAGGTGGCAACGCAGGTGTGGTTGCTAACCCCGCTAATGGTTGCCGCGGAAACCGTTAGATTTAAATTTGATTCAATTTATAAAAATTTATTTGTTATTTAAACGTTACAATATGAATCTATTTTAAAAACATTTGTTTTACTTCAAATAGCCTTTATTTAACAACAATTTGTTTTGTTTTAATTAAAGTGGTGAATGGTGGGAATCATACGAAATTCCAATCCAACAATGTACTTTCAATAACTTTCATTTTTAAAATAACAAAGGCGCTTCGAAATTGCATTGAATTGTTTCTGCGGTCTCTCTGATTAACAAAAGCGACAGGGCTGCCAGATAAGAGCTGAGGCTTGAAGCAAACACCTTTTGTCTGGCACCATTCTAGTTTGGGCGCCAAATGGGGTTGCGTTTGAATTTGAACAACTTAACCACTTTGACTACAACCAAGAATGTATATCACTGTAGTATATTAAACTAGCTAAAGTACCCTAATAAAATTCCACATCATACGAAAAAAACATAACAAACCATAACTTAATCCTTTAACTTTAGGTCTTTATAAATTCTTTACATTTCTATAGAACATAAACTCTGATTTTGTGTCAAGCAAAGTATATTAGAATATATTCTAATTTCCTAGCTAAAAGTAGAATTTATGCCCCCCATAAATAATGTGAATAATGCCTTAGCATGCCGTTCACACTTTTAAGGCCCAACCAAACTCTTTTGCAACTTCAGCTGAGCCAAGAAAATCAATAAAAATGGCGCATTGCATTGGCCAGGAGCACACAATGACGCCACCGGAAAAAGCCAAGTAGGCTAAATCGGAGTCACTGAATTTCTCACCACCCACGAACTCCACTTTGACCCATCCGAATTTTCTTAAGTTCCAAGGTCGCAACAAAGAAATGTAAGTACTCTCGAAACAATGGCATTTTTTTAATCGAATCAATTTGACTTTTTTATAAAGAAAGGGTTTCCCAAGTTTATTAAATATCACTTAAATTAAATTTCTTCGGCACTCACCTGCTCGATGTCGAAATCCCATTCAGGCGATGGAGAACGTGCTGTTCGGCTGCCTGGTGGAGGGGTTCCCAGTGCGGGGGAGCCCGCTTGGGGCTCTTCGGGAATCACGGCGAATCGACCCCTTTGAAGGATGGGCGAAATGGCGCCATAATTGGCTGCAATAGTAGAAGAAGAAGCCACCAATTAGCAGAAGTCATTTCAAATCGACTAAATGATACCAAGTAATAAGTTCGAAAATATATGAAATGTCTTCAACTTTACTAATTATACTATTCTAAAGCCTTTTTTTATACTATTAGACTTTAAATTGCTTAAGACTAATAAAATGTAATTTCATGGGAGACTTCTTAAAAATTCATTTCAAATAAAGTATTAGCATCCCAACAATTTTGAAGGAAATGCAAATAAAAAAAAAATGCTAAAATTATTAAAAAGGCTTAAAGGAAAAAAAAATAATAACATTTTAAATTTTTTAAATTTACGGGGGACCTTACATTTAACGGGTGGTCTTTTACTTTTTTTTTTTTTTCATTAAACTAAAGATTAGGTTTAATTATAAGTGTTTAATAAAGAAATTTTTACTATAAATGAAAACAACGAAATTATTATATTCAAATTGTGTGCTTACCTTTACGTAAATCGACTTGTTTAATTACCCATTTTACATAATAAACTAATTTTTATTTCAATTAATATATAAAATACCCAAATGAAAATGCCAAAACAAAAATATTACTTGGCCGGTTTATTATGCAGATATATGGCATTTAACAAAACTTTTTAATTTAAGTGTTTAATAAATTAAAATGAAATTCAATAAACTCAAATTTTGTGGTTTTTATGTATTCTTGGAAACTAACAAGAAATATGGCACTCAAATTGTCTGTAAAATTTCAAGTACTAAAAAAAGTAATAAATTATGTTGATATATTTAAAGGCAATTTTATCGTTTAATCATTTGGTTTTTTCAAAACTAAGATTAGTAGGTATCATTAAATAGTTAGCCACTTACATGTGGGCATAAGGCGGAAGCGGCCAAGCGTCGTTTCGGGCGGACCCTGTGGCGTGGAGGAGGTGACGCGAAAGCGGCCTCGACGGGCGGCTGCCACGTCCTCGTAGTTGCCACCCCCTGCCGCTCCGCCAGCACTGCTCTGCATCCTGTGCCTGATGCTTCCCCGTCCGCTTCAGCAAGAACTGCAATGGAGTGTGAGAATAGGTTGTTAGTCGAAATCAATATAGCGAACACTGTGATAAAATGTCAATTTGTTCGAATAAAATGTATAAATTTTTTGCATACGTAAAAGGGCTTATGGTTTTTCCCAAACCATAAAAGTTCAATATAAACTAGATGCTTTCAACCTGAATCCTTCCAAAATATAAAAATCATATTCATATGTTTAACCCAGTATATTCTCAATGCAAACATAACTTATACGCCATGTTGGTCTACACGGAATTTACTATGGGATATTTAAAACTAATTCTATAGTTAATCTTTTTATTACTGGTTAAGTTAAGGATAAAAACATTATCTTTCATTCCACTGTGCAGTGGTCAGAGGCAGTACAAAAATTGGCTTTACGAGCTCATTGCACGCGAGTTTATTTTAGCTTTCTTGGCGCCTCTAAGCAGACTACATAATATACAAAGTGGCCATACTCTCCCTCTCTCTCTCTCCCTCTCTCCGTGGAATTCATAATTGAAAATCTCAAAAATTGCAGCAAAGAATTCTTTAAAAGTGTGCCATCCGAGTCATTCAACTGCAGGAATATATGTATATTCATGTGTACATATATGAATGTATAAAGAGGGGTGGATTGAACAGCTGACTGCGCGCCACGCGACAACGCGGCGTATGTGTGATATTTTCGGTTGATTGCCTTCTCGCAAATAAAAACGCTGGGCAAGCATTTAATATTTCTTCTGTCTTTGTTTTTGCTTCCTTAATTGAAACTGTGACGATTTTCTCTAGAAAAATTTGTTTACTTGCGCGAACGACCATTTATGTGACTAATTTCTGGCTTTCAAAAGGAATTTTATATTGCCGACAAAGATAGGCAAAGTGATGAAAAAAGTTGAAAATTTATATGACGCAAAATTAATAAAACAAATCCTTTATTTATATGTAAAGTTTTACAATGTACATGCTCAATAAAATTTAACATTTGTTTAATATATTTTTATTTATTCTAAGAAAACTCTCATTTTTTATAAAAATGCATTAAAGAATTTAAATGAATTAATTTGTTAATTCCCAATTTATTGTCTATGCTCTTTGATTTTCCGATTCTTTGGCACTCTTCCCCCGACTTTTCTTCTTGTTTACGTAAACAAAGCGAAAGACAAAGATGTATATTTATTCGATTAAAGCAGTTTATTTACCTAATTATATTTTATCTCAATTGCTTGGGCAATTGAACGGCTTTAATGTTATTGGTTAGAAATGGTTAATTAGGCAAACTTTCACTTTATGTAGAGCCATTACGATTTAATAGTTATGATTAACTTTTTAATAAATATTGTTTTTTTTGCTAATATTTATGTTTGATTATTTTCACTTGATTTTCAGCCGCTTTGCCGAAAAATGTTTGCATAACACGCACAACCAAACATGCGAATACTATATATATCGCTCATACGCCACATATACAGATGGTCAGTGGGATATTGACATATCCACGGGGCTCTGCGTGCTCCGAAATGTTTTATAATATTTTATTGATTTTTTGCGGCAATTTTAACGCCCGACAAATTAACACCGAAACACTAAGAGTACAATAATAAAAAAATAGCATTTAGAACGCGCAGCAAACACTTTTCGACTGAGCACTTGGATAAATAAAAACAAAGAGAGCGGCGGCGAGAGAGAGAACAAGCTGCTGCGGAATTTATTTCGCGTTTGTTTTATTTTTAAAAACGAAATTGGCAAAACAACAACAAACAGGGCCCGAAAGCGAAAACGAATTGCGGCCAAAATGAAAAAATGCAGCACCAAAATAAACCGAAACCGAAGCCAAAGTGAGAAAGAGCCAAAAACGAGTGGCCAAAATGCACTGAGAGAGCGGGGGAGAGGCGACGAAAACTCAAGAGAGAACTGCATGGGTTCATTTACTTTTGGAAAAGGCAAAAGCAACGATGCAAAAAATTGTCTCAAAGAGAGGAAGAGAGCGATTGAGAGAGCTGCAATATATTTAATTCATAAAATTGCAGAAAAAAAAGAAACAAAAAAGGAACCGACTATTAGGTACTCTTTTTCCATATTATTGCTAAATTATTGTTTTTTCTACATTTTAATAAATTTAATAAAAGATAAAATAAAATATATTTAATTCATAAAATTACAGAAAAAAAAGAACCAAAAAAAGGAACCGACTATTAGATACTCTTTTTCCATATTATTGCTAAATTATTGGTTTTTTTCTACATTTTAATAAATTTAATAAAGATAAAATAGCGAGTTTTACAATAAAAAATATTTAAGCCCTGACATTAATGTATTAAAGAATAGAATAATCGTATATCATTTATGTACATATGTTAATGGGTGTTAACATATATCGAGAGAAACCGAGAGCTGCTGCGACTTTCGGCTTACCTTCAACCCATAGAACGAACGAGAAATTGCGTATACGCCACCAGAGATGGAATCAGCTGTTGGCAAACACGTGAGCGCATCCCCCGCAAAAAGAAGGGGTTGGGAACATGTGGTGCATGACTGCTAATTGAAAGCAGATGGAATATTGTGGGCGGAGGATTTAGAATCGAAAGGATGCGAGAAAAACAAAAGCCCAATGGGATCACCAAGTGAGTCATCTATACATTGTGCCTTGTGATGAAATAGGGTTCCATCATCTTCTATCATGGAATTGCATTAGAATGCGATTCATCATTAAAGAACAGAAGCCCGTAACAAATATAATAGATAAGGCAATGGATATGGATGAGTTAATGAAAGGTCATTAACAATACACAATCGATTAATTGACAACTCAAAAGACTCTTGACAATTTTCCAGATGTTATCGTACATATTTTTCAAGTTGTTCAGTTTGTTGATTAGTTGTATTCCATTCTTAATAGTCTATAAAAAGTTATCTTCATATCTCAATAATCATTCTATGGGGCTTAAATACGTTATTAAATCAGCTAATGATGGTAAATATATATTTCAAATTTCAGCGAGTATTCTTATTTAAAGTTCAAAAGAAACACATTTTCAACCAATAAACACCAACTGTCAGTCAAAAGATTATTATGTTGGCACCTAATGAGTTTTTATAATTATTATTTATTTAAAATTTTTGTTGCACTTTGCCCCAGCAAATAGAGATGTTCTCTGTTCTCTGATCAACCATATGCCAAATAAAATTTATTTCAAACTCAACGAGCGTGAAAATTAAAAACAAACAGTAAACAAAACTTTATTACACTGTTAATGAAATTATAAACATTATCGGCAAAGAGCAGTCTTGATAAACTTTAAAATTTTGTATTGGCACTATATACAATACACTGCGAAAATATTATCAGAATGTGTCTTGAACTTGTACAAAAGTCTCTTTATCTGTGACAACTTAATCTTTGAGCTCCTAAAATCAGCATTAAATATGTCAAATTTATTTGTCACGAGTTCTATTGTTAGTCATTACGTATTAAATCGAATTAAAATATTTTGTTATATGAAAAGTGTGGATGACATTTTTCTTTCTGTGCATAAACACCTACACTTAGATCGGCCATCTATCATTATTTTCAAAAGCGCCATATCCCAACAATTTTCACGTTTCGCTTGGCGAAGAATTTTACGCGATTTGCGTCTGAAGAAAAGAAATGGCTAAACTTTTTCCGAGTACAAAGGAAATTTCCTCTATTTTTGTTATTTTGATTTTCTTTTGGGCGCACATCCAAATCCAAACATGTGACTTGAAGGCCCGCAAAGGATGACATCATGGGCAGTGGGCGGTGGTGGGTGGTTGGGTGGTTTGTCTGAGTGATGTTTGTCGGGCAGACAGTTGGGCACACACGAACTTGACAAATGAATTATGAAATGCAGAAGGGGAAGGGTGTTTATAAATAGTGGCCCAAAAGCTCGATTCTCTTAGAATCTTTTTTTATTGCCCGCTAAATTTGCTTTTATTTTCGAAAATGTCAGAAGCGTTTATTGGCCTCAGGTGAGCCGTGACGACTGAGGGGCGAAAGTAAGAGTGATTGGATTCGTTTGGGGTCAGGTTGGTAAAAAAGTTCTGAATGAATGTCGAAGGACATTGGATTTTATTCTTTAAAAGTTTTCTGCCAGGGTTTCGTGATTCTTTGGTTGCATGTAACAATCGAAACGTGATTACTTTATGTCGGCAACTGGATTTAAGTTTATAAACTTAACTATTTTTTTTTAATTAGAATAATACCCCTGAACCCTACAAAAAAATAATTGTGGAATGCCAATTCTTCTCCGATTATAAAAGTAGTTCATTGAAATAAAAACCAAGAGATAACATTCATAAACGATAAGGTGCCTCACTTGACTAAGAAATACATAGTAAAATGTGTGGTTCCCACATTATTTAAAATTTCTAAAGTTTACCAATAATACCACAAAGCACCTAATGTTTGAAAGCTAGATTATCGTCATGTCAAAAACCATAAATTTACCGATTGGCGAGTATTAATTTTAAGCCTCTCGCTCGCACACCCACTCCCCATCTCTTTCTGTGACGTTATCAGTGTGAAAGTCGCATCTGAATTGCGTATTTGTGGGTTTATTTGTGCATTTTGCGCCGCGTCCAGTGGCCCGCCTGTATTATTTATGCATGTGCTCTTTTCTTTGTTTTGCCCGACAGTCATTATTTTATTGTTGAACTTGTGCGGGCGATAAGGGGGCTCTTCATTTCACTATCTGCCGAAGAGCGGGACGGCGAATCGCAAGCATAAATCACTTTTCCACAATTATTCCGTCTGACGCCACGCTGATAAGTGGGTATGACATTAAATTAGGGCGAAAGTTAAATGTATTTTACATAATGCATTTAGCCGGCTTCTATTTCAACCGTTATTTCGAATAAGAAGAAGAAGCAGATGAGTTACCGGCGAAATGCTAACGGTACATATATAACCACCCCTAATGTGGGAGTGAGAGAGAGCACGGTTGGGGGTGTGTATGTTCTGCTGTCTCACTCTCTTCAACATGTGAGCAGATTTGGGTTTTGCAACGCCTATATTTTGCAATTATCTCAAATATATGTACATTTCACTTACTTTGTCGCCCCTCTCTTTGTTTTTATTCGCGTCACTTCGACCCCCACTCACTTTCGATCGAATTTAGTTGCTAAAATTAAGCCAAAGCACTAAAAGACACTCACACACACACACACGCGCGCACACACGGACGTCACCAGGGCAAAAACAAATACACAGGCAAACAGCTGGCAGCAGCAACAACAACAACAGCAGCCAGAGTGCGATTCATCCAATAAGAAAATATTTTATTTGATTTATGCAAACGAGCAGCAATTTTGTATTCTTTTTAATCACACATCACAGAGTACTCGTTTCACTCAAAGAGTGAACAATTTTTGTAATTTATTTGCCTTTTGTAGCGAACTTTATTGCCTTTTCCCGCGACTACGGGGAATATCCTTTTTGCAATATCCGGTAATTACGCGACTGGGGTTCTATGTTTGCCACTGAAACTCGCGTGGTTTGGTTTTATTTTTATTTCTCACCCCGTTTCTGATAGTTTTATTTTATTGTATAATAACCATGGCGAATAATTGATTTATACATTTTAAAAAAATTTCCGAAATTCCGATCAGAACGGCTACGGGTTATAGACTAGAGTTGCCAGAGTCGGAAAAGAGGTTCTATCGATGTCTCCATCCAATTAGAGTAGAACTATCGATACTACTGCAGTTTCATAGCTCTTAGCCATGGACCTCAAATTAACTAGGTGGCAACTCTTAAGTGGGCGCCACCAATTTGAATTACAAATTATTCAAGTAAAAAAGTAAATAGAAAAATTAATAAAAGAGCACGTTTTAATTATAAATTGTAGCATTGATTGAATGATCCTGTATGTTTTAGAGACCCTTTCGGTCCGAAGTAAACTTTTGCACAATATTTGTTCCTTTCCTAATGGATATTAATAATTTAGTTACTTAAATCGACTGTTTATGGTTTGCAGATCAGGAATCTAATGCTGTGTTCGCTATAGCTAAAATCCTTTGTACGATTAGCGGTTTCAGGAAATGGGAAACGTTGGCGCAGCAGCCGCATTGTCTTCTCTAAACTTGTGTGTATGTACATTAGACTACGCAATCATCTAGTAAATTCTACGAAATCAGTTTTTTCTTCTCCTCTGTCAGTTTGCCCTCGACGGGTGGCTTCTTGGCCGGCGCCGCAGGTGCCTTCTTGCCATACAACATGTCCACAAAGAGGGCGGCGAACACGAGAACAGCTCCCAGCCACTGGCGGGCAATCAGGACGTTTCCAAACAGCAGCACAGAGCACAGGACGGTGAAGAACTTTCGTGTGGTGGTCACCACGGAGCAGGCGAGCGGTCCAAAGTTGGCCACCATCAGGAAGATGAAGAACTGGCCGAGGACACCGCACACGGCAATCAGCGACAAATGGGTCCAGGCCTCGGGATGCCGGATGGTGAAGTACAGGAACTCCTTGGCCTCACCTGAAATTGGTCATCAAATATAAGGAATTTCCTCAAGGAAATACAACTTACCCGTGAAAACCATGGCCACGCCCAGCATCAGAGTGCTCCAGAAGTTCATGGCCCTCATCATCTGCTGACCCGAGGGCGCACTGGCCGCTCGGATGCGCTCCTGGACAGCTCCAGTCAGGCCGTCCATCGAGAGGCTGAGGAATAGCAGCACCTCGCCGAGAAGCGTCGTCTCAGCCGGCAGACTGGACACCTTGCCCTCCTTGTACATGAACAGGATGACGCCCAGGACAATGGTCAGCACGCAGGCATAGCGCGTCCAGCTGTAGGACTTGCGACCAATCAGGACACCCAGAATCATGACCGGAATCGGTTTAGCCGACTTGCCCACGACGGCAGTGGGATAGGGAACCCAACGCATGGCCATATTGGTGGAGACCATGGCCAGCAGATACGTCAGCGAACAGGCCACGTAGGAGCCCGCATTGGTGGTGTCCTCCTTCTGCGGCTTGATGGTCAGCAGCACTAGAAGATCAAAGATCAGTGGAGATTCAATGGGGAAACCGCATAATCCCTACCTTTGGCAAACACATAGTTGCAGAGGCACTGCACCCAAACCAGGGCCAACGCGTAGGTGAAGCGTTCGCCCACGGAGCCATCCGTCTGGACCTCTTCGCCGTAGCGACCGCGGGTCAACTTCTCCTGGACAATTCCGTAGAGGAAGTAGCAGACGAAGATGCCCACCGCGTAGATTATAAAGCGGCTGCGTTCCGGCAAATGCATATTTATGGCGGGCGGATGGAGGTTTTCGGGAGCTTCTGATGTTCCGTTCGGTTGGCTTGGACTCGATGCACCGTCTAAACAGTTGGCACTCTCCGCAAGCGGCTGCAGGTGGCCGTGATTTGGCGATGGCTATCAAATAATCAAATCAAATACGTGGTCAGTGCTGTCGGATCAGCTGGCTATTAGCCAGTGTCCAGTTTTGGCTAGTTTTATTGACTATTATTTCAAAATGCTGTTTTATCCTTCTCGTTCTCATAAATTTCCAAAACAGTTGGGAATAAAAAATTCTTGAAATATAAAGTAAATTTAAAAACAGATTGTTGTTTTAACATTAGATTTAGCTACTGACAACACTGTCCAAATAATCAATTCAAATACGTGGTCAGTGCTGTCGGATCAGCTGGCAATTTTTGTGAGCTACAGCTGTCAGCACTGGAAAATAGCGGGGGCGGTTTAAAGTGTGACCGTGAACCGATAAATTTGTATCCAATATCGCCAATTGGATTCTTACTGCGCGCGGAAATTAACGGTATATAATAAATTTTTTTTAATCTTTCCTATGATAATAACTATAATAACTATATAATTTGTATCTTTAAGAATACATATATTTTTACAGTTAAAATATAAATACAAAATTTTGCTGTTCTTGGAAAAATAATCCAAATACGTGGATAATTGGGACCGGATACATATTCTAAATGTTTAAGGTCTATCTGAATAAACCTATTGCATAAATAACAAGTTTTCAGTTAACTATTATATCGGAAATTTCATTTCGTTTATTTGGTTTAAAAATATAATTGCAAAATACAATAAACTATAGTCCCACATACACGCGCGTATACGTGATCTTCTCTTTGTTATACTGGTAATGCACTTGAAGTTCTCGGTTTTAGTGAATGCAGCCCGTAACCCCTAGAAAATACGCCCCCCAAGCGTAATACTGTCCATCCGCCCTAAGCGCCTAGACAACAACAAACAAGCGATTATCCTCTTAAATAGCAACAGTTAAGCGGTAATTTGTAAATGATAAAAGGGTGTGGTGGCGACTAGACCTTAGAAACTATAAAAATAAGAGATAAACAAACAGACAAATAAAACGAAGAGTGGAGAATCGCCTACAGCGGCACCTGCATGGGCGGTAGCCAGGTGTAAAACAGAATGTACGCCGCGCTGGAGACGACGTTCGAGGAGTCCAGAGCGGAGACGACCTGATCGTCGAACTTGAACCACTTGCCGTAGTTGGCGCTCTTGCAGAAGGCCGTATAGTGGCCGCCCTCCATGGTGCCGTAGTGATTGGAAACGGCGTACAGCTGGTAGGTTTTGGGCGTAACCGCCCGCGATTCCGCCCGTGCTATGTAGGGATTCATATCGAGGTTTTCCAGCGGGAAGCGAAGGTAGTTTTGCTTCTTCATGTAGGCCCCCGAATTGCTGGGGTCGGCATAGAACCTAGAAAGATATTCAACTGGGTAAAATCAAGTATAGAATAAGATTTAGCTCAACTAACCGCTTTAAATGCACCACCAGCACTGGCGGCAGCTTGGATATATCCAGTTTCTTGATGGCATCCCTTTTGGTCTTGCAACTTGGACAGTTCCAGCCGTGTATGCGCTCGCCACTGAAGTACATGTCCATGCACTGGTTGAGCTGGCACAAATTCGAGTTCGGCGGCAGCTCCAGGCTGAGATTCGAGAAGCTCTCGTACGTGGCCGACTCCTTGTGGCAGGCCACACACTTGACGGTGCTCTTCATCTGGCCATAGAATAAATGCAGTATCATGCTCTCCTTGGCCTTGGTGAACTCTAGCCAAGCCTTCTCCGACGCACTGATCATCTCTCGCTGACGGGTGACATGCAGAGTCTGGAGGTCCGAGTGCAGCCAGTCCATCAGGATGGTGAGAAACTCGTGCGAGTCCTGCTGGTCAACGCCGCGAAAGATCTTCTGGTACTGACCCACAACATACTGCAAAAAGTAATGTGTTTGTTAGAGAAATATTGTGGATATATTTTGAATCATTCAATTTTTTATCATAGTATGCCATTAAATTTCTGATTTGTTTAATTCAATTCTATGTGAAATAAATTGAATGTTTTTTTTAATTCTAATGAATAATTTTTATGAATTTTTTAAATTTGCCAGTTGTTTTTTGTGCTTTCTTTTGAGAACAAAAAGTGGAAATTTTTTAACGAATCAATGTTAACTGCTTAGAAAATAAAATTCATGCAGATTTAAAGTTTGAATTATTTCGGAATTCATGCCCTTTATTCATTCAATTCTATTAAACTAAAAATTCAAATTTCATTCAATTCTATTAAACTCAAAATTGTTATTAATTCATTCATATAAAACAAACAACCAACAAATTTACCAGTTTGTTTTTGTGCTTTCTTTTCAGATCAAAAAGTGGAACATTTTTAACAAATCAATGTTAACTGCTTAGAAAATAAAATTCATGCAGATTTAATCACAAAATGATGGTCCTTTCTTCTTCAAAAGAAATTGTTGCTTGAATTATTTCGGAATTTATGCCAATTAAACTCAAAATTCAAATTCATTCAATTCTATTAAAATCTAAATTCTAATTAATTCATTCATATAAAACTAAAAATTCAAAATAACTCATTGAATCCATTCATGCAGGGCTCTATTACCTACCCTTAAATCTCTGCTGGCCACACACTTGTACTGTCCGTTCCAAAGCTCTTTAATCAGTGCAGCCACCTCCTCGATCACCTGACCATTGGTCTTGTTGCTCCTGCTGATGTTGTTCTTGTATTTGTCCGAAATGCAGTACTCCGTCAACTGGGGCGTATTACTCAGGCATTGCAGGATGCTGTTCATGTAGCACGTGTTGCCCAGGTTCTTCAGGCCCGTCAGTCCGCGACCCTGAAAAGTTGCAAAAAATTAGTTAATTAGTTTGAAAGTAATTCCCAAAAGTTACTCGTCGCAGCGGGAAGATGGAGCTATAAATGCTGTAGGTGGGCGGAGCTGTTGGCAGCTGCAGCTTCACGCCCGCCACACAAATCATTCGCGGAATCCTGTCTGCTGCTGTTTTGGCTCAACAGTATGGCGATTGTACGTTTCTTTGGTTTGAACATGCTTTGAGTGCGGACGGCGAGCGACTGAGACTACCCCCGAAAGCAAAGCCAAAAGTCTGGGCGATTGTCTATGAAACGTGACCCATTGGGTATTGATTTCGCTCGTGTGGCGGCTTTTATTAGGTGACCGCTGTGAGTCAACCACCCCCAAAACCATCACTCACCACATTCTGACCCACGACGGGCGAGAAATCACGGACCCGTTGCGATGTCCTCTCCACGCTCCTCGGCTGCGGTTTCATTGCCCTATCGAAGGTGGGCTTCTCCACCTTGTTGGGGGCATCCTCGTTTAGCTGTAGCAGAGATTCCAGGCTGTCGGAGACGTCCTGGAGCTCCTCCAAGTTTCCGGCGGGCGACAGAGGACTCTGGGGACTCTTGTAATGCTTCTTTGTCTCGCGGGCGATCGCCAAAAGGCGCTCCCTTTCCTGGCGTTCTAGCTCGTGTTGTTCGTCCAAGCGCTGACGCTCCCGGATCTTGGATTCGATGTTCTTGGTGGCCTCAACCTCCTTTTGCGACAGCTGCTGGCTGACATTCTGCTGCTCCTGTATGCGACTCAGTTCTTCGCGCAGACGATTGTTTTCCACGATCTGTGGGATAAGTAATCGTTAATGGTTAGAAAAATAAAGTAATTAATGGACCTTACATAGTCCTGGGCCTTGCTTTCTAGTTGTAGAATCCTGAAGTGCAACTCCTGATCTTCGGTGGCATTCAGGCCATCGCCCTCGGCCGCCTGGCGCTTCCACATCTTGGAGGCCCTCTCCAGCTGCTCATCGTTCTGCTCGGCGCGCTGCAGAAACTCGGCCTGATCACGCATGATCTCGGCTATGGGCTTGGCCTGTGGAGAAGGGCGAGAGGCTCCCTGAGTCAGAGTTCTCGTGGCCGCCGGCTTGTTGGCTCGATTTATGTCCGGCCGTGGCTTAAAGTCCTTTGCACTGATGTCCTCCTTCATGGTGATGTCGTGGATGGAGGGATACTCAATGTCATCGATGGTCTCGATGTCGTTGTTGTTCTGCTGCGGCGCCTGCACACTGGGATTGGTGCAATGGGTGGGGTACATCATGATGAAGTACTCGTAGCCGCCCTCGACGATCTGGATGGGTGAGCGATACGTCACATCCGGATCCCACTGTTGGGATAAAGTGTTATTACAGATCTATGACTTGAGTAAACCAATATTTACATTCTTTAGGATGTCCAGCAGCGTGGCAATGGCTGTATTCGCCGCCGGTTGGGCATCCTTGGTGTTCCAGTCCATCAGAACCACTGAATCCTTAACAGAGCGCGATGCCCACGAAGCCTTTCCGCTGCTGCTGAGCCGCGCCTGCAGTCTGCCAGCCGACATGCTACGTGGATCAAGGAGTTACTAGCTATAACATGGAGTAGATAGGTATTTAAACTCACCCCAGCGTTATCTGCTCCTCGGGCACATTGAATGCACAGTAGTAGGTGAGGTGGGAGGTCTCGTAGTCGGCGCTGGGTCGGCAGTCCATGACCAGGACCGATTTCTCCTGCATGCGCCGGTACAGCTCCTGGCAGCTGATCAGTCCCAGTCGGGCGTAGTCCGTGGATTGTGGTACTGGTGACGCCGCCTCCAGACTTCCACGTCCATTGCTGACCAGTTCCGAGCCAATTGGTTCCACTGGCTGGCGCTGCTGGTCGTAGCGATGACGCAGGGACTCCATAATCACCTCCAGCGTGTCCATAATGCGGCGATTCGCCTCGGTGTCGCCCAGCATCTGGCGCACCGTCGACTTGTGGCTGGCGTAATCGGACTTTTTGTGAATCGCGGTCAGCATGTTGAAGTACTTCATGTAGGTGATGTAGGCCAGTTCCTCGTCCCCGTCCAGCCTGTACTCCTCGGCCGTCATGTACAGTTTGCGGGCGGTGTTCAGGAGGCTTTAACGAGAAATTCCAGGTAAGCAAAAGCAGCCGCATCAGCACTTAATCGCGGTGTCCACTTACATTTTCATGCCCTTGCTGCGCAGATCCGGAATGATGGACATCTTCTCCAGATCATCGAGATTGGAGCTCATGTGCAGCTTCTTCAACTTGGCCATTGCGCTGGCGTTTCTCGAGTGGGTGTCGGGGATGGTGTTATGTCGGTAACGGGACTCGGGAAATGCCTGGTTTTCCTGTTTTCATAGCAGGAATTCCTCAATCTGCGGGCTGGGCAGTTGCAACAACAAAATCACTTGTTATTTCGCCTGAAATGTATCGATACTCTGACAACTATCGATTGGAGTTGGCACAACGGGAAGCTGTTTCTAGATTGTATAATACTAGCTAGTTATTTAGCTAGTTTTCGGATTTTCCACAAAGTTTTAATTTAGGGGCTGTCCAATTCGGCGATTTTTAACCACCCCACTCCCATGTAATCAATTCTTCATTAAAAAAAAAAAAATTGCATTTGCATTTGGTGGAACAATCCCAAACCCTTCTAGATGATAATAAAATATTTGTAAATTTATTAATATTTTTAAAAATATGTAACTAACTTCTAAAGCTCACTAAATATGAAGCGAGCTAAAACGACATTTCATCTACTGTGAATAGATCATTTCCCTGTGTTGTTGTTTGTTAAAAGAGTAGAGTTTATGGTTTTATTAACACGAAAATATTTATAAAGGTATTTATATTTTAATATTTATGTACCTATATTTTGAAAATTATTAACTTATTTGGATTTCTAGAACCCACCAAATATAGCGGGAAACGAGCTACATTTCATCTATTGTGAATAGATCATTTCCCAGACCAGCTGACAACCTTTTGTTTACTATTCTTGTTGTGGTTTGCTAAATCAGAGTTTATAAATGGGCAGGACTTCGAAGGACAAGCGGGACATCTTCTACCGACTGGCCAAGGAGCAGGGATGGCGTGCGCGGAGTGCCTTCAAGCTGCTCCAGGCGGAGGAGACGTTTCACTTATTAGAAGGTCTTGCTTGAACCTCGTGTTTCTTGAACCAATCCTAATAAGCTGATTTCAGGTCTCACCCGAGCCGTGGATCTGTGTGCCGCTCCTGGCAGCTGGTCACAGGTGCTGGCCAAGCGCATGTACGAGCCACTGCCTGCGGAGGAGCGGGAAAAGGTGAAAATCATCGCAGTGGACCTGCAGGGAATGGCTCCAATTGAAGGAGTCACACAACTTCGGGCGGATATCAGCAAGGAGTCAACGGCGGAGGCCATCATCGAGTTCTTTGGCGGCGAGAAGGCACAGATTGTGGTCAGCGATGGAGCTCCCGATTCCACAGGCATGCACGATTTCGATGCCTACGTTCAGGGCGAGCTGCTCCTCTCCGCCCTCAGCATTTCCACTTTCATCCTGGAAGAGGGCGGCTCCTTTGTGTCCAAAATCTACCGGGCGGACAGGACCAGCCGGTTGTACAGCCAACTCAAGCGCTTCTTCAAGGACGTGTGTGTGTTTAAGCCATCCGCTTCACGGAATTCCAGCATCGAAGCTTTTGTGGTGGCCAGACAGTTTTGTCTGCCTGAAGGATACAAACCCTGCAATCTTATAAACGAATGGCACGATCATCCAGAGACGTGGGTGTGCAGGAAAAAGGATAATCCGCCCGTTGTTCATGTTCCCTTTGTCGCCTACAAAGGTGATCTGGATTCGGATCGCACTTACGACTTGGTAGGAGTGTTTTATATATTCCTATTCTGAAAAATATCTTAACGTTGCTGTTTCAGGGCGAGGACTATGTTTATAAAGAGCCGGTACAACAGCCTTTGACTGCCGCCTATCAGGATATCCTGAAGAAAACCAGCCAAGTCAACATCAAATACGAAGGCATACGAGTTGTTCATGACGAGGAATTGTTTAAGGAGTGGCAGGATAATGGACCTCAGGACTCAAAACTTTAACAAAATAAACTATAAAAACCTGTGGCAATAAATTAAGGTACAAAGTTGCATTTTAAATATATAGATGTACATTTTAATAACAAACTTCTTAAAAATCTATAGAAAGCGCTTATCATTACGCCTTTTTTAATATTTCTTTTTTGTTTTTCAACAGTAAATAACTAAAATCTAAATAGAAAACTTAGAATTAAGCATTTGAACTCATCATGTGCATTGAGAATGCTGTTTTCACAGCGTCATTATCTTCTCCATTTGGACTTTTTCGTCTTTAGCAGCCGCTCTTTTGCGAGCCCTTGCTCGAGTCTTTTGCTCGGACTTGCAACGTCTACGAAATGCAGCAGTTTCGGCATCCGTCCACTTCCTGAATGTTTGCCTCCTGGCTGGAGCTTGTCTGACGGGCTCTGGCTTGGGCAAAGCCACCTTCTTACGTTGGACGGACCGACCATTGGCCTTAGCTGGAAAGGCGCAGGGCAGCAGCTGCAGTTCCTCGTGCAGGCGGCCACAGTGAGTGGGCGAAATGGGAAGGTAACTGCTTTGGGTGAGGAAGATCTGGTCACTGGGAATGGTTTCCGTGAGGAGTTGGTGCAGCTGGAAGCTTTGGGCAGTGGCCTCCTTAATGACATTGCATAGCAGGAATTTATCCTTGTACTTGGGTGAATATCGCAGCAGGTATTCCCCACACGGCACCGTGTCCAGTAGCTTAAGGAACTCGTACAAATTGGATAGTAATTGCGGCATGCTCGTGTTGTAGTAGTCATGCAGCTGTTGCTCCAAGGAAATCAGCGTCAGTTTCTCCTCCAGCATGGGCCTAAAGTCTCGCAGCGAGATGCGGGTGCAGTGACCTACCTCCGACTGGAGGAGTTTTAGCTGCAGCCAGGCACTTATCAACTCGTATTTGGACATAATCTCACAGCCAGAGTCTGGTTTGTTCTCTAGCTTGATTAAGTGGCATCCAAGTGGTTTCCTGCTTTTAAAATCATTAACCGCTGGTATGGGTAAAGTGGTAAAGATTTGAAAGTCTTTGTTGTCATCACCTTCGCTTTTACATCTAAGACTCCAACTAACTAAAGCGCTGTTGGTGGTGGCATCTATTATGTCTGAAGATTGTTGATCAATTGATTGGGGTTTGTAGGCCATTTGAAGATCGGTAGAAGGCATATCACAGGTAATCTTATCAGGTACTTCCTTGACTGCTCCACTTGATTCAAAATCTAGCCACTTGGCTTGTCCAGGCTGGGAAATAAAGCTCCCAAAAGCCTGCTTCAAGATCAAACTGTTTGTATGCCAGCCACAATTTCGGGCGGGAAATGGAGACTTAAATTCCATACATTTATGACTACTTTTTGGGGATTCTCTTAGGCTAAGAAACATTTCTGTGGGCAGGTCAATATATGAACCAGTCGTTAGCAGCATTAAAAGAGAATCTAGAGGCAGCACGTAGATATTGTGGGCTTCCAATTCCAGGGTTTTATCTTCCTCACATAGTAACTTAGCTGACTCCTTAATTTCCCTAACCGCGTAGCGATCTAAGCGTACTCTTAAGGTGGAAAGGGCCTCCTGGGTAAGTTCCACCTCTGGCCAGAGCCTCACCCTCCCCACAATCCTCTCCAGTTCCACTTGCTCCATGCTGACGGTCTGAGAATTGAGGCTCTTGCACTGGGACAACTGTGGCAGACCCGAGAAGGTCACATATGATTCGTTAAGATGTGAGTTTAGCAGTTTCCTTATACTCAATTCATACCACTTTCTGTAGATGGCAACTAAACTCTTCATGGGCGCATAGATGATTTCCTTGCGTCCCAGCTCGTAATCATGGATGTGTTTTTGCACCCGCTGTTGCTCGTTGCAGCGCTTCTTCTCTGTGGCCTGCCACACCACGAAATCCTCCTCGTCGACGGGTTCGCTTCGCTGCCAGGAGAGAAGCACTCGCATGCAGGCGGCCTGCTGCTTGAGATTCAACTCGGAGTGCTGATCTAAAGGATTGGGAAAACTGTAGCCGGTTTCTCCGCTGGAAAGGTCGCAAATTGCACTCTCTGGAACCTGATCGTTGCGGGGATCCTTCAAGGCTGTGTTCCGATCGAAGGATTTGAACACTTCGGCGGTTTCCTGGAGCTCCTGTCGCAGCACATCGGGATCCACCTCATTCAGAAATGTGTAGAGTGCATCGTCCACGTGCTCGAAGGATTTGTTGAAGACCTTGTACGACGGCTGGTTCCGGAAGATAGAGTTTCCCTCGTACAAAGGAGTGTCCTTCTCCATATTGGATCGGTCTTTGAAGAGCTTCAAAAACTTAAGTTTTTAAATATTTCTTTTGTTTTGTTTTTATTCAATGCGTGTGCATGACCTTAACGCGATTTCGGGAAAATACTCGTTTGGGGTATTCGTCGATATTTAATCAGCTGTTTTTATACCCGTTACTCGTAGAGTAAATGGGTATATTAGATTCGTGCAAAAGTATGTAACAGGTAGAAGGAAGCGTTTCCGACCCTATAAACTATATATATTCTTGATCGGGATCACTAGCCAAGTCGATCTAGCCATGTCCGTCTGTCTGTCCGTCTGTCTGTCTGTCTGTCTGTCTGTATGAACGCTGAGATCTCGGAAACTATAAAAGCTAGAAGATTGACATTTTGCATGCAGATTCTAGGAGTTCCTACGCAGCGCAAGTTTGTTTCAAAAGGGTGCCACGCCCCTCTTACGCCCACAATCGCTAATGTACGATTTTAAAAATTTCAATATTTTGGAAAAGTAAAAATGCAGTTTTATTGTGTTTATCAATACCTATCGAAATGTAGAAGAAATTTTTTAAATCGGACCATTCGTTAAAAAGTTACGACGGATCAAAGTTTTTCTCCATCTCCTTCGCACTCCCTTTAGCTGAGTAACGGGTATCTGATAGTCGGGGCACCCGACTATAGCGTTCTCTCTTGTTCAGTTTCATATATATTCAAATATACTTCAGGCTGTTAATTAACGGCTTATTTATTTATTTAAAAATTAGACTAGGAATATATATTAAGTTTCCTTAAACTTATACGATTACGAATAGTTGCTGTTGCTTTTTTTAAATTGTATTAAATTGTATCTATTATGATTATGGCATGCTTTTTATGGGACATTAACTTTGAAATTAAATGTAGTTACTACATATGTGGCCTTAAAACACTTTCAGATTCATTTTTGGAATCAGTTGAAAAATACATTTTGAGCCACAAAAATGTATCTGAGCCATATCCTGCTTTTAGTTTTAACTGTTTTCAGCACCTGTGCGACATCCTTTAACTATACAAGCTGTGACCAGGCGAAGCAGCCAAAGTTTGTAAGATATTATTAAATTAAATTTAATTTTCATTAAAATTATTTAACATTTGCTAGCTAAGTTCATGTTGCGATGTTCAAAAAAACGACAAGGCCATCAAAGCTTGTCGTAAGTCCTTGCTGAACAGTAACTCAACCAGTGACAATAAATTGAACTCGCCCAATCTTAAATCGGATAAGGTAGCTCTCCACGCAGTAAATATTAAAAATCTTATAAAATATAAGTATTCTTCTGAAAAAAGTGAGTATTTACAGTGCATTGCGGAGTGCTCCTTCAAGACCAATGGCTTTTTGTTGACCAATGGAAGCGTCAACGTGGAGGCATTACAAAAGAGTTACCAGCAGCGCTACAAAAACGACCAAAATATGGCCCAACTGATGGTGAAGAGCCTCAAAAGCTGCACGGATTATTGTGGGTTTAGAATGAATATCAATGAAATATTTTCTTAACAATAATATATAAACTATAAACAGCTCTGAAGCGAAGTCAGCAATATCAATGGATGCACACAAAGGGTGAATGCAACTACTATCCTGCCATCTTGTTGGCCTGCATCATGGAGCAGGTTTACGTCAATTGTCCATCCACCAAATGGAAAAACACCAGCGATTGTACAGCCATGCGTAAATATTTGATTGCCTGTGACGACGTCGAAAGCAACAGGAAATAAATATCCAAAAATATACAAATATAAAGCGGTAGCAGATGATTAGCTTTCTCATTTTCTATTTATTCAGCACACACTTGGAAAGTAAGTTTGGCTAGCTCCGCCATTCCGCACTCAATCACATCCCCAGCCTTGAAGGCATCCGAACCATCGGGCGTTCCGGTGAGGATTAGATCGTTGGGCTCCAGGGTCATGTACTTGGACACGTAGGAAATAATATCGGGCACCTTGAATATCAGGTCCGCGGTGCATCCCTTTTGCTTTACGACACCGTTGACCGTGAGCCAAAGCGGCAGGTTGTGTGGATCCTTCACTTGATCGAGGGGTATAAACTTGGAGGTCCATGGATGACCAGCCGCTCGGGCTGCCCCCTAAAATAATTATTTATTATGGATGGATTTGAAATAAAACTTGTGTATTTTCCTACCAAATTGCATTGAGCCGTGAGATCCAAGGCCAAACAGTATCCGGCCACATAGTTTAAGGCATCTTCTTTGGAGACGTTCTTGCAGGTCTTTCCAATCACCACGCCAAGTTCCACTTCATAGGCCACCTTGGTGAAGACTTTGGGCAACTGGAAAAGAATTTAAATTTAATGTTATTGGGTGCATGAATAACAAGATATAATATTTAACATTAAAAATTATTTTTATTTTGTATAGTATTTTAATCATATCAAATTGAAATGGTCGTCACATAGAAAATCGTTGAAAATTATGATTTTTTTGTTCACAAACGAAAAGTAATCTTTTTATAAGAGATCAAAGGTCTACGATTTTACTTTACTGTTATTAAGATATGTTGATAAATGGATCACATGTCTTATCATTCCTTAAGATAAATCTCAGCTCTTACCACTATTGGCTGACCCTCCTGGAGATATGATGTGGTGGGTTTGAGGAAGACGAGCGGCTCCTTGGGCACCGGAACGTTTCTGGCCTTCACAACGTCCCTGCGGCAGACAAGGATTCGGGGGATTACCAATTCAGAACCATTTTTACTAGTTAGCGCTAAATTACATGTAATTGAGAGCTACGCCCACAATCTTCTTGCCTTCGTTCAAGAAGTTGGCGGCATTCTGGTCTCGGCAAGCCATCCTGAAGATTTGGGTTAGTTGAACCACTGGAAATTTAAGAAAAATATGTTTACTGAATCGTGAAACTGGAGGAAATGAATAGAATACAACAGCTCTGCGGTCAAATGAAAGTGAGCGTTTAGGCATTGACAGCCGGACGGGACTTACTTGCGCAATATTTATTAATTTAGATGTGGGGGTTATCTGGAGAGGCGCCCCCCGCAGAAAGTTTATCAATTAAATAACAACAGAAAATCAAGAGAGCGATCGAGGAATCAGCTGGTTTTGATGCGTAGGGTTGCGAGAGCTTCGAAAATTTGCTGGATGGATGCAATTAAGTTACTTTAAAAACTGTAAAAGTAAATAAATTAATAACAGTTAATTATCAACTGTCACTATTAAAAGTGTTTGAAAAACAAGTATTCCTGGTTCTACTATTTCGTTTCCAATGTTGGATGCATTCAACATTAATCCAATTGGATTTTCTATCTTATTGAAACTAGCACGATTAATTTCTATATTTCAAATTTCAATCAGTTTCTTTTGGGAAACACTTAACATTAGTTAATCATCCTGTTTTGTAAGGATTTAAAACGACAAATCTAGAGTGGATACAGGCTGAAAAAACCGACATTACAACAACCTGTTTGAAAAACTAGTGAGAACAACCCAACACCCAGCTGCGTTTTGCAACACTAACCCTGCCAGTGTGACCGCTCGCCAGCCACACAGTCATCGATATCGATAGTGCAGACTCATCATTTGCAGTTTATTTCGATATCAGGTGGTCCATATTTGGGCGGAAACTCGTGAAAAATAAAATTCTCCGTGTGAAAAGTCAGCGCAGTGCAGTTGCGCGAGCTTAATAAACAAAAGAACCAGCGAAGTGCAAGCAGCTAGGGGCAGCGAAAACAATAATGACTTGCCAACGAAATCCGCACACTTGGTGAGGGGACTTCGGCGTGTTGAGTTTCCCATCGCTTTCGCCCTTTTCGCGCATTCCGCCTGCGGTCCTACTAAATCGAGACGAGCAAATTGTAATTTTCTTTCGAGCTAAAAATTATATGAAATTGCTGGCGAAAAGCGATTTGTAAGCCGTGTAACCGAAAAGTCAGCGAAAAGCGCTACGTGGTGCGTGAGTGCGAGTGCGAAGGAGAACAACAGTGAGCAGTGCGAGAGAGAGAGAGAGAAAAGACGAGCCAGCAAACTCTACAAACACACAAACAACACAATGATGAAAATGGAGACTGACAAAATAATGGACGAAACCAACTCCAATGCCCAGGCCGTGAGTTTTAGCTTAGTAACTCGGTTTAAGCGCCATTTCTGCCCGATTCGAGTACATAATACACTCTGCTTTTAAGTACATGGTGCCCAAGGTGTCGACTGAATAGACACGCACACACAAACTGACAAGCACACACACACACTCGCACAGCGCGCCTGTGTTCGTGTGCTAGTGCTTTATTTTCGTATATACTACAGATTTTGCACTCGTGCACTCTATTAAATTCGGACACATATCCTATAGGCTAACCTTAAACTTTTGCGGACTTTAGGCATTAGCCTAATTATTCATCGCCAGCATCATCATCATTTGCTTTTCATCATCCCCTTTGTCCAATCATCCGTCTTTATTACATATACACAGATATATATATATCCCCCCAATTTCCGAATTTTGGTGGTCCAAAAGCCGTTTTCTGATTTCGTTAATTGGCCTCGAGTTTGTTTACACAATTAATAACAAAAATCGTACACAAAGTACACTTTGTTGCGACCGTGTACATTTCAATCAGTACTTATTTTATTGTATGCCTATGGTTACGGAGTTAAATGTGATAGGCGGCTTACTGAAGGTCAGTTCCCGCAAAACCATTAAGCAATGTGCCCAAAAAATTGTTTTTTATTTTTTTTTAATTTTTTGCTCGGTAAGCAATAAAGTTTCGCTTGAGTCATCTGGGTTTATTTAGCTGGAATCAAGGTTGAATCTGGTTAATGATACACATAGCTTCTTGGTAATATCTACAGATGAGCTTCCATAAGTCAAACCATCATTAAAAATTAAAACTTAATTTTTATAGAACCCATCCTTATAAGCTGTGTAACCCGTAGCCAGTGAAAACTGTAGCATCCTTCATATTAGCTCAAAGTTACCAGGCAAAGGCAAACAACTAAAGCTCACAAAAAACCATAATATAGCTATAATATGGCAATTAAATTAAGGCAACCGACCCGAATACTTATATACACCTAGCACATAGTGCTATACGCAAGGTTTTTTTTCGCATTGCTGGCATTGCAGTTAACTTAATTACTCAAATCACTCACAGTCGACTGTCCGATTTGTTTACTTTACTCGAATTGTTTGCCGAGATCTTTAGCATTTAATTGATGACGTTTGCTTATTGGGCCATTAATGGGTGAGGGTCTATATATAGAATTCGCATAATGAGCATGGATGTGGATGGTAGACCAAATAAACATCGATACAATTATATATTATTTATAAACTGGCCGTGTGAATGATCTGCTTCTATTGCCGCCAGTCGGGTTTTTCACGAATCCGCTTTGCAAACTCTTTCGCCGCCAAATAAAAACAAAACGAGAAAATTACGAGAAGAAAGAAACTCGGAGTGGAGTCGAAACTAATTGCCTAATTGTAAGCCCCCCCAGTTTGGGTCGTCACTAGTCTAAAATAAAGAAAAGTTGCACAACCCGCAGCTACCTACTTTTCCAGTTTTAACGATCGCCCCTTGACATCCAAAAGCACTGCAATCGCAATCTCATAATTAATATATCTCTCTCTTCTATATTTTCCACCCGTACAGTTCACAACCACTATGCTGTACGACCCGGTGCGCAAGAAAGACTCCTCGCCCACCTACCAAACGGAGCGGGAACTCTGTTTTCAGTACTTCACCCAGTGGAGCGAGTCGGGACAGGTGGACTTCGTGGAGCACCTGCTGTCGCGCATGTGCCACTATCAGCACGGTCAGATCAATGCCTATCTCAAGCCGATGCTCCAGCGGGACTTTATCACATTGCTGCCAAGTGAGTGCTCGATTTACAGTCTAATATTGTCTACGGAATAGGTCGGGAAATCAGCGGTCTTGGGTCTTGAACATGATAAGTAGATTATATTATAGTTTGTAACTGCCTTTGGGCAACAAATCTTATTGGAAACTTAAAGGGAGATACAGATTTTTGAGGATTGAGATTCCTAGGATATTGATTTATTATTTGTTTTAGTTAAAATATTAAAAAAAAAATTTAGTTAATAACATTTTATTAATTCAAAGTTTAGTTTGACGATAAATCTATCTCATATTTATACCATACAATAAAAAAATAAACCCTGTATTACCTAGTCAAACTAGCTATCCATCTGTTTAAATCAAATATAAACAAATACTCTTTCTTAAATTAATTATTTAGTGCTCATTACTATTAATTGTAAAACGATAATCAATCAAGTTGGAAATTGTGAACGTAAAAATGCCGGCAGGTCTCAATAAGAACTCAATTTATAGCACACTTGTTACTACATAGTGTCGTATTGCATAAATATTCGCAAATGAAGTTGGTTTTGCTTTGTTTATTATTACCTGTTACATACATAAGCTAATTTATTCATTTAAAGACAATATGAAGTGATTATCTATCCCATGAATAATACTTAGAGGACAGGTTAATTATTCATCAAAATCTTATCAAATTTACCAAACATACGTCACTTGAGAAAGGGGTAGGGTGACACACAGGCGTTATCAACACCGCACTTTGTATGGGAGGTCAGTACTCCCAGATGTCCAAGAATCCAAGTGGCAAACGCTGATAAGAAAGCAGTAGGAGATCCCACGGTCGAAAATTTGAAGTATTTCCTACCGAAATAAAGCCGAAAATCAGCTCACAAACAATCATCCAAATCTTAGCCAAGTTTAGATGTGAATAGAGAGTTCAGAAGCCGAGTTTAATCCCTCGGCACGCAATGGGTAAAACAATAACAAACGGCAGGTACAAAGTTGAACAACATGAAAGGTAAATCCCGCTCAGAAACGAACCCAGTGCGATTCGTTCCGCGTCCCCCGATTTACACCCTTTCTCCGCCGGATTGTTGCCGGGCATGTTTCCAGCGAGAGGAGCCAGTGGGTGGGCCAGGGGCCTTTGGTTGTTAACTGTTGGCTGTTGACTGAAAGGTCGTTGCTTCCATTAAACGCGCTTTACCGGAACAAAAACAGAACGAAAGCGGCAAAGGCAGCGCGAGCGGCGAACCTTGTATATTATTCATAAGAAAATGTGAATCGATTTTGTCATTGATTGTCGGCTAGCAGATGTTAACTAATAACCGAACTATTGGCGAAGTTATAGGTGCTATTTTTTGTATTTTCTATTGATAAACAGGTTTGCAATGAATCGCATTATGAGCACTTCGTTTATCAATGCACCGATACGTGTGCATATCGATGACTCAAATAGTCAACAAGAGCTGTGCGTGCAATTCTAGCCTTTGCAAGGGCATTCATTTACAGAATATTTATATATTTATTTTGCTTCCTCTTTCGGTTTTTTTCGTTGGGTTTCAGCTAAAATGCAATCAGGTGTTTCTGCATTATAATTGTCTTCGCGGAGAATGTCGCTTTAATTTGTAAGCCTCTCTTTCCTTGAACCACCAGTCTGGAATAAGTTCTTTGAGGAAGTTGTCGGATGTTTCCGTTGGCTTAATCCCCGGCAAATGTCCTCCTTGTTCATGCCTGTTATATAATGTTCGTAAGCTGTGCCCATTTGGCTTTTAACTAGACAGATATGGGTTTATCTTAGACTAAAAAGCTATATTAATTTCTAAAAATTTAATTTAACTTTAAATTTAAAATTGCTACACAAAGTACAAAATTTCAATCTTAAGAAATATTTATAATTTGGTTTCGAATTTAGACCAATACAATATTATACTTTAAAACAAAATTCATTAACAATTTAATTACAAAAAAAAAATTTAAATTATTAATTTGCTAAACAAAGTACAAAATCTCAAAAAATATTTAAGATGATTTTTTTTTAGATTTTTATGTCAATCCGTTCTGGGTGAAATTTGCTACTGAGCGTTTTTTAGAGTTCAAATTTTATAGTAGTTTAGATTTATTTTCAAAACTAGACCAATTAAAAGAGCTTGTTTGTTAAGAACTTTATCACTTGGAAAAGTACTTAGACCCCTAGTAGAACATGTTTTCAATTTCTTTTTGAATTACCTTGTAAATTACGCTTGTTTATTTCCCCCATTTTGTAAATATTCTCTTCGGCATCACTGTAGTGCGTTCCAGGAAAGAAAAAGAGTTGAAAGTAGGCAACATTGTCTCCTCCATTTACATTGTAATGCACTTCAAAGGCAGCTAACCGGGGGGACAGTCGTCAAGTCGGTGGGACAGACAGATGGATGGTGGGACAGAGGAACGGAGGGATTGGGATTCACAGACGGATAGACACACTTAGGACCGTTAGTCGCCGGCGACGGCAAACAACTTGAGCCAAATCGTTGCCGCCCGCCAAACAGCCTGCCTGCCATTGCGAGTTATGCACATTTTTAATTGTGTTTGGCAAATGCTGCGAACAGCAGAGGAGCACTGAATACTCGCATGCACTTCAGACTCTGACTTGGCCCATTCAGTCGGGTTGTCAATGCAGATGAAGATGTGGATGGGGCTGGGGAAAGGGGAACCACTCCTCTTCGAGCCATGACACATGTAAATATGCCGGTCTATTGGTTGGGCCACCTCCACAGCCACTCCCACTCCCACTTACCATGGGCTAAGTGCATTTTAATGCCGTTAGGTGCATCATTTTGCCTCTTGTTCCTCGCCCAGTTGCAGTCTGGCGATGTGGTTGCATTGCATTGGATTTAATTGGTTCGGATTGGGCTGGGTTGAGTAGGTGTCTGACAAGAGCAGTAGCAGCCACGGTTGCTCCACCTCGTATCGGATGGCAAATTGGTTATGTGTCACATCAGAGATAACTGGGTGCCAACTATAAATAGCTGTCTTTGTCATTAACTTGACTGGGGAGATGGCCTTTATGAAAATTAAAGATTAAGATAGGTGTAGCGAGGTTAAAAATTATTATACCCGTTACTCGTAGAGTAAAAGGGTATATTATATTCGTGCAAAAGTATGTAACAGAAAGATGGAAGCGTTTTCGACCCTATAAAGTATACATATTCTTGATCAGGGTCACTAGCCGAGTCGATTTAGCCATGTCCGTCTGTCTGTTCGTCTGTATGAACGCTGAGATCTCGGAAACTACAAAAGCTAGAAGGTTGGGATTCCCCACACATATTCTTGTATAAATTCAATTTTGTTGTGTTTATTTATTCCTAACAAAATGTAGTAGCAATTTTTCAAATCGGCCCATTTCTTAAGAATGTATGCCCGATCAAAGTTTTTCTCTTGTTTTTATTTAACTAGATCTAAACTAATTTAAATGTTTTTTCTTACTACCACTTTTAGTCAAGGGTCTGGATCACATCGCAGAGAACATTTTGTCGTACTTGGATGCCGAATCGCTCAAATCGGCCGAGCTGGTCTGCAAGGAATGGCTGCGCGTCATCTCCGAGGGGATGCTCTGGAAGAAGCTCATCGAACGCAAGGTGCGCACAGATTCCTTGTGGCGCGGATTGGCCGAACGACGCAATTGGATGCAGTACCTCTTTAAGCCACGACCTGGCCAGACACAGCGGCCACACTCATTCCATCGCGAGTTGTTCCCCAAGATAATGAATGTGAGTTGTTTGTAAAATCATTGTAATTTGCAATCAGTAGATTAATATTGAACTTTCTATGGTTTCAGGACATTGACAGCATAGAGAATAACTGGCGGACTGGACGCCACATGCTGCGCCGCATCAATTGCCGGTCCGAGAACTCGAAGGGTGTCTATTGCCTGCAGTACGATGATGGCAAGATTGTCTCCGGGCTTAGGGACAACACCATCAAGATCTGGGATCGCACGGATCTGCAGTGCGTTAAGGTGGGTTTTGATTCATTTACATTGAAGGAATCATTAAATAAGTTAGTTCATTCTGAAAACTCCAATTTCCCATCACTTTACAGACCCTCATTGGCCACACTGGATCGGTGCTGTGCCTGCAGTACGACGACAAGGTGATCATCAGTGGCTCCAGCGACTCCACCGTCCGCGTGTGGGACGTCAATACCGGCGAGATGGTCAATACCCTCATCCATCACTGCGAGGCGGTGCTGCACTTGCGCTTTAACAACGGCATGATGGTGACCTGCTCCAAGGATCGCTCCATCGCCGTCTGGGACATGACCTCGCCCAGCGAGATCACGCTGCGACGCGTCCTCGTCGGCCACCGGGCCGCCGTCAATGTGGTGGACTTCGATGAGAAGTACATTGTCTCCGCCAGCGGAGATCGCACCATCAAGGTCTGGTCCACCTCGAGCTGTGAATTCGTGCGCACCTTGAATGGCCACAAACGTGGCATCGCCTGCCTGCAGTACAGAGATCGCCTGGTGGTCAGCGGCAGCTCAGACAATTCAATAAGGTGAGTGGGCCGTGGGAATTTAACCGACTTTCCGGCATGGTGATTAATGATGTGCGATAAACATTTTTGTTTTCTTTTTATAAATTTTGCGATTAGTAAAGGCTATTAATATCGATTGCCATTTCCATCACAGCTAATGGGTTTGATTTGAAGTTTATTTCTTTATTTTATGTTCATTTCTTATTTGACTTAAAGGAAGTAAAGAAATATTTATTTTTAAAATATTATAAATGCTTGAGGCAAATTTATCTTAAAAATTGGGAAAAAAAAAAAAAAATAATATTTATAAGTCATAAAGATAACTGATATTTCAGAATTTTAAAATAAAAGTCAGAGAATAACAGTTATTTTCGGACCAAAAAATAAAAGTCTTCCGTAACTTTTGTTCATGAATTTTATAATAAAAGTCTAAAAATTACTGTTATTGTGCGACTGAAAAACAAAAAGTCCAAAATATCTCTTGCCAATGACGTCACAAAATCTCATCTGTTGAAATTCGGTTGGAATTTGTACCTATGTTGTTATGGTGGCAATTTATATTTACCTACATACGAGAATTCTTTAATACAACGACACCACGAATTCTTTAGGACAAGAGGATATTGTCCATCGTAAAAAATGTTTAATAATCTGATCCTTTCTTTTTCGATTTATTTCAGACTTTGGGACATTGAGTGCGGTGCCTGCTTACGCGTCCTCGAGGGCCACGAGGAGTTGGTTCGTTGCATCCGTTTCGACACGAAACGAATCGTCAGCGGCGCCTACGATGGCAAGATCAAGGTCTGGGACTTGGTAGCCGCTTTGGATCCGAGAGCAGCATCCAATACTCTCTGTCTGAACACACTTGTGGTGAGTCATCCCCTAGGTCACTTCCGCGTTTTTCTAACCTTTGTGGCTAACTCTTTTTTAGGAGCACACTGGTCGCGTCTTTCGTTTGCAATTCGATGAGTTCCAGATTGTGAGCAGCTCGCACGATGATACAATTTTGATTTGGGACTTTCTAAATTTCACACCCAATGAGAACAAGACCGGACGCACACCGTCACGTAAGAGAAGCCAACTTTCACCTCATTGATCTCTTGAATTATGCATAACGTTTTCGTTTTGTTTTCTGTTTGCTGCTGGCGCTTTAGCGGCCCTGATGGAACATTAACATTTTGTGCAACGGCAGCTGCGCGAGTTACATCTACAATCCTCGAGCGAAGACGAGGACGACGATGAGGACGAGGGCGATGATTTCGAGGATGAGGATTCTAGAGATGATGCTGGGGCGTTTATGGGTGGATATGTTAGGCATCGGGATGCTGGCGGTTCGGGCTCCGTCACCGGTTCCGGCTCGGATCCAGAATCGGATGACCTGGATTTTGATGTAGATGTTGAGAATATTAATGATTATGATGAATGAAGAGTGAATGGTTTTAGCCAGCATAAACACACAGCATTGCGACTTGTCTATTTGAAAACTATGTTGAACCCAAGATATAGCGATCTCTAAGCGTCTATTTTACAATCGCACACAACACACAGAATACACCCTCACACACACACACACACATCCACACGGAAACATACAACACACATAATATGAATTAATTGAAGTTATAAAGCAAGCAAACAATAAAAATGCAAAAGGAGTATACAAAAATATACAAATATTTTCGCAAAACTGGCTGTTAGGTTTGTCATGTACGAATGAAAATGAAACAAAAGAAGCGGAAGAAGAAAACTATGTATTAGTTATTTAGGCGCTGTAATACTAATCGAGGGTCAGTCTTTGAATCGCGTCCCGGATCGTTGGATCGATCGGGCGTTACTTTAAGTGTTTCTTTAGCTCAAATACACAAGCATCGCGTTCAGGCAGCTGCCGCCTTAAGGAGAAGAAAAACTGTGAGATCGCTTGGAACATTTTCGCAGGGGATCCAAAAAGCGACCCGAGGAATCAGTCTTTAGCATAAATGTTAGTTAGAATCGCTTCATTCAAATTGGCAAAGCATCCATTTCGGTTCGCCGCATTGCATATTTGTAACCTACTTTACATGCCTATTGCCTAATGTTTGTGTTAATTGTAAAGTTAAATTTAAGCCTAGTATTTTATTGGCAATTGTAATCTAAGTTACGCAAAATACAAATAATTTAAATGAAAAGTTACTTGTGTAAAGAACGACACACCACGCTGTGTCCGCAATTGGTAGTTACACATCTTTCGAGTGAAGATCAAATGAAAATTAATCCATTGTACTGCAATATATAACCGATTCTTTGATTGATCTACGATAACTCTAGATTCTAGATATACATCTGTATGTAGAAAATAGCAAATTTCCAGGCAGTTTCAACAATATATTTATATGTATACAGTTCGTCGATCATCGTGTGATTAATGGACATTTTACTATATGTATTGCTATTTGTAAGTTAAGTTCCAATGCTATACTTGATCTGGATCACGATCGCCGCTTCCGCGTTAACTAATGTATGTACATAACGTTTTACTTTAACGAAAAGTTGATGATGATATGATACGAACACATACTCCGGAACATGTAAAACTGTTGGTGGAAAGAGTGCAGCTTGTTAATCGATGGCCGAGCAACTGCTATTGCGCGAATGGGCTTAGTATAGGTAACATAACTAGAAGTAATAAATAATAAATTGTGTATAAATGCTAAAAGGTGGTTTTCTTAATATGTTTGTACATTTTTGTTTGGTTTATTCCAGGGAACGTAAATAATCGTTATTTAAGATGTTTATTTTAAAAAGACTACTGTGATATTTTGTTTTAAACGTCAAAAATAACGTTCTTTTTACTCTTGTCCACAAAGCAAATTAACTGTTATTTTTTCATGTCTATAAAGTGTATAAAAACCAGTTAAATTGTTGATTAAAACTTCTCAAATCTCAGTAGGCCTTTTAAAATAAAAATCTCAACGATTATTTACGGTCCCTGGTTTATTCTGGTAATTCTTTTTTTAATATTTACTGATTTCTTCATTGATTCTGATGTGAGCTAAAAAAGTTATTACATTTCTTAAACTAGGAGGAGCTCACTAAAAACCGTAACATTAGTAAATAATCTTTTTTTAATAACGCCCTATGAAACCTATCTTTAGTAACCTTCAGTTAACTAACCCTAAGATTTTAAAATCGCGCGCCTTCTTGGTTCTTAATAAAATAGTGTGAATGATGTATTTTCCAGATGGATTTTTCGCCATAGGGACAAATGGTAACACCTTCTAAACACAAAAAGTTTTTTTTCGCCAAATTCCCTAAGATTATTTTGTTTCTAATCTTCCAAGATGGACTGGTACGTGGGCACGGAGTGGGAGGACAAGAGCCGTGGTCTGGCCAAGAAGGTACTTGCCCTCCAGTTCAGCGAAATGGAGAAGCCCACGACAGTCAGCACGGTGGAGTTCAGTGTGAACAAGAAGACCGCCAATTTGGGAGGACGACCCAGCAAGTACTTAACCAGCGATGAGTCCTCCACGTATCCGCAGCAGCACATCCTGGAAATGGGAACCAGCCTGACGGCAGTGGACTGCTACGTGGAGCTGCTGCTGCAGCAATTTGTGCCCGGCGAAACGGCAGCCTGCAGCATCACCAGCAAAACCGGCGAAAGGGTCGAATTCGAGCTGCGGCTGGAGAGGATTGTGAAGAATACGCAGGTGGAGAAGCTGGACGCAGCAGAGATCTATCAAGTGGCCCTGCGGCTCAAGGAGAGCGGCGTGGCCAGCTTCAAAACGTTCCCGAAATTCGCCTTCGATTACTTTGTGCGGGCCGCAAAGTTGCTGATCACCTACAAACCCTTCGACCAACTGACCAAAAAGGACAATGGCATCGATGGTCCCACGGTGGAGACGCTCTTCATCCAGATACAGACCAACCTGGCTGCCTGTCTGCTGCAGGAGAAGCGCTACGAGCACGTGATCTACCACACGCAGTTCGTGGAAACGGAGGAGGATCCCAGCGAGAAGAGCATCTACCGGCGAGCGCTGGCCTACTATCACCTGAAGGAGTTCGCCAAGGCGCAGGCCACCATCGAACGGTTGCCCAACTACGAGGAGAAGCGGGAGTTCAGCAAGCTGCGCGACAACATAGCGGCCAGCTGGAAGGATAGCAACGCCCACTACAAGCAGGTGGTGCAGCGCATGTTCAGCAGCTAGTTCCCATTGATAAGATCTCCATGTCAGGCACAACCAATGGCCTTTATAAAATAGCTTATGTTTAATGTACTACTTTGATTTCCTACTCTTTTTGTGGTCAAACTTGGCGCGCTTGTTTTTCGGGTCGAACTTGGCCCTCCTGTTCTTGGGATCGAACCTTTCCCTTTTGTTTTTGTGGTCAAACTTGTCCTTCTTGTCCTTGCGGTCGAATTTGTCCTTGCGTTCAAACTTGTCCTTGCGTTCAAGCTTGTCCTTCTTGTCCTTGGGATCAAACTTGGCCCGCTTGCTGTACTTCATTCCGCCGCTTAAATTGGGCCGCTTGCGAGAGGATCTGGCCTCCATTTTGAAGAGTTCTGTAAAGGGAATCCTTAGTTTTTGCTCTTACATAGCAGAAGCATATACCAACTCACCTTCATCTGGATCCTCGCCGACTTCCTCTTTGTAGTACTCCGCATCGTCCTCGGGATCGCTGTCATTGCGACCCTCCGCCTCCCTTTTGGCAGCCCACTTTTCATCCTTCTTGATCTTCAAGTTGCGAGCCCGGTTCTCGGCCTGCTCCTTCTTGCGTTGCTCCTTCTGCTTTCGCTTCTTCTCCACTATCTTGCGTATGGTTTCCTTTTCGTCCTCTGTCTTGACCACATGATCGTGATACAGAACCTCGCCGGTCAAAAGGCCGTCTTCTATTTTGATCAGCTGCATGGTTAGACGAGGTCCGATCTCGTGCAGCTTGATGGAGCTCTTGTTGTCCTCCAGATTGCCCTTGCTCTTGAGCGTTTGCGCCAGCACCACGTGCGACTGCTCGTCATCCTCGGCCTCTGATTCGGAGGCGTAGCCATCTCTATAAGAGATTGATATATTAATGAATGCAATAGGAATCAAGAAGGGTTTCCCATTACTTGGTTACAAAATCCACCACTTCATTGCACTTGCCCAGATTGGGCACCGTGCCCTTGACGATCTTCTGGACCGCTCTTTTCAAACCCACGGGCACCACCTGCACGGAATAGTGTCGCATCTCGACCAGCTTCGTTTCTGGGTTGTAGGAGAACAAAACGCATCGACGGATGGTGCCTATGTTGACCTGGGCCAGGTTGATCGAAGGAAACATGTTCTGGAACGTGGTGGCCATCAGCTTAAGGTGCTTGCCATCGCCACTGAAGTTGTTCATGATGACCAGAGGAGCATGCTTGAAGTGGTCGTTGTCGATCATCTGTTTCCTGGTCAGCGAGATCACATCCCTGGCCAGGGTGAACTGGTGGACCTGTGGAGGAGTAACTCATGTGAAAACCAAGCTGCTAGCAATAGGATAACCCAGAGAAACAAACCTTGAAAGTCAAGGAGGGACCGCGCGGCAGGCGGACCACTTTGAAGGACAGCTGCGTGGAGGCCTTGTTGAAGATGCCCATGTGCGAGACGTGGAAGAAGCTGCTCAAACTGACAAAGTCCTTAATCCGGTTCATTCGCTTCTCGCGCAGATTGCTGGCCGTGAAGGGCTCCATGATGCGGCGGAAGTCGAGGGTGAGGTCCGTGATGTACGGGCAGGTGAGGCCGCGATGGATGACGAAGGAGTGCGGCGCCTCCACAATCTCACTCGGCTCGCTGGCCTTGAAGGCCGCCGTCCGCGTCTTGGGATGCACTTTCTTCTTGCCGCCGCTTTTCCCCATGTTTTGATGTGTTTTTTCTGCCGCTTTTCCGCCGCACGTGTTGGGATCAGTATGGCTGCAGGGGCGAAAAATACCAAACCCTCCGGCAGCCTCGCTCTGGTCACTCTAATTTTATTCAAAATTTCAGTTTTCCCTCCAATTGAAACACCTCTCAACTTCCTTTTATTTAAATTATATTTATTTAATCACACTTAACATAGCAAACACAAATGATGTTATTTCGTTCATTTATGCATTTAAAGTTTTACAACTGTTCTTGTTTGATTTCTCTTTATCAGCTAGTTTTAGACAAATTTTCTTTTACCAAGTGGGCCAATTGTTAAAAATGTTCGAGTGAAAACTGAAAAAGTCCGCGCTGCAGTGTTGTGGAAATAATGAATGTTGCATCATAATCGAAGTTAACCGGTTGTTGTTGTTGTTCTTCTCGAGAAATTACAACTATATATTTATGTTGCGAAAAATTAATAATATTAATATTTTTAATATTAGCATATATGTATATTTATATAAATTATAGTTCTACAGCTTAAACTGAATTTGGAGTGTTTAGTTTTGCTTGCTTTTTTTCCACGGCGATCGGATCGATTTATGCGATATTCTTTAGATCTGTATCTGTTTTTTTTTCTTTTTATATATAAAACTTCAGTTTAAACCGCAGTTAACTACAGCCGGATGTTGTTTTCGATTCTGTTGCTGCTTCTGCTGGTGGAGTGGTGGTGTTGATTTCATTTGATTTATCAATTTATGCACATATGACAAACTGCAAGTGGCTGTGATTGAAAACACAGAAACATCCTATGCGTTCCATCAGATATTCGCTGCTTCTGATCATCAAGTTATAGTTGTTGCTGCTGTTGCTTTTGTTGTAGTTGTAATTGTTGTTGCTTCTGTTTATGTTGCTGTTCTGGCGGTTGCGGGGGATAGCGAAAGTTGCTTGGGGCGGTCACTGACAGCACTGCTTGCGCACATCGGCGGTAACAGTCGGCTTCACGTCGATGGGCTCCACGTTCGACGGGCGAATGACATCGCCTTCCGGCGGATCCCTGATCTGTTTCTGCGACACAATGCGATAGATCTCTGTAAAGCGAATGGAAGAATTAGTCAAACTTCATTTGCATTGCTCTATCGATTTCCTGTGAGAAGAGAAGCCCTTTTTGTGATCTGAGCATTAATAGTAAAAACTTATACGATCCTACTAATATAACTACTTCCTGTTTTTAACTTTTTTTTAATTTGTTGGTGCATAATGCAAATTTGAAACGTGAGAATCGCATACAAAATTATTTTATAAAGATTACTTATCTGAAGTTTAATAATATATTTTACCTTTTCGTTAAAAAAAAAGAAAATTCTTTCCTTATCAATCCTTTTTTGCTTTTTAAGACTTAAGTCTTTTTAACTTAGAAATTCATATTCCTATTAGTCATAGTTTTGTTAGTAATTCTTTTTGGATTATACTGAAATCTGTTTTATTCACTATATTTTTTAACGAGAATGATATGACTAATGTATGAGAAGGAAATGGCTAATGGCTTAAATTTGTAGGTTGTACAGAATTTTATTCACCAACATTTCTGTGAATATAAAGTTTATATTATAAACCTTCGTCATTTCAATTCTAATTTATGCATGTAGGAAACACAAGTACGTGAATAACGATTGAATTGAGTTTAATGATAAGAACCAATACGCCCATAGAAACCTCATGAATTAAAATCGATAGAAATTTGTTAGCCCTTAAAATTAACAAGTCTATTTTTGGCGATCTCCATCAAATTTCTATTGAATATATTACCCTAAAACGTAAACAAACATCAGACCAAAACCTTTGCAAGGGTCGACTGAGTAGTTGAATGATAGCGCCAATCAATAGATTGACTATGAGTTAAGTCAATCTCGAAGACTCACCTGTGAGTATGTTCTGGAATGCCGTTTCAACGTTCGTCGAGTCGAGGGCCGAGGTTTCTATGAAACTCAAGCCGTTGCGCTCGGCAAACAGTTTCGCCTCGTCCGTGGGCACGGAGCGCAAGTGCCGCAAGTCGGACTTGTTGCCCACCAGCATGATGACGATGTTCTGGTCGGCGTGGTCGCGCAGCTCCCGCAGCCACCTCTCCACATTCTCGTAGGTCAGATGCTTGGCAATGTCATAGACGAGCAGGGCACCCACAGCACCGCGATAGTAGGCAGAGGTGATGGCGCGATAACGCTCCTGGCCGGCCGTATCCCAGATTTGCGCTTTAATTGTTTTCCCATCGACCTGGGGATGAAACAAAGGAATAGCATTAGAATAGCGACAGTAATTGGCAATTTCTCCCACTTATCCTGGCGGCGTTTTCGCTTTGAAAATCGATATACCAACTGGACATAGTGATGTCAACATTTAGGTACAGGTTTATTCCAAATGGGACATTTGGGTACCCAAACCTAAAGTCACCTGTTAACTTGACCTAGTTTTTGGGTAAAATTTTAAATGAACCAAAAAAACCCTAACTCAAAAGGTTTGCTTGGCATGTTTAAAAGTCATAATTAATAAAAACTATTTATAATGACTATATTAAGAAGATTGTAAGCGATGACTAATAATTCTTGTTTCTAATCTATGCATTATTTTTATTTATTTATTGGTTCTATTTTATTAACATCTTAGTAGTTTTTAAATTTTTACAGTTTAAGTGGCAACTATGATGTCAACATTTCGCTTTATCCCCACGGGATTGCCTCATAAATTATGCAAGAAAGCCAATTGGCAATCCTTTATTTACTGAAATTCTCAGACACTTACTGAAATTGAAGATAAGTTTTCCCCCCTATTTTCCGATAGATGCCTCAACTACGTGTCTTCCCAGCGAAACGCACACGCAAGTCTGCCCGTGACCCACTCAGTGGGTGGTGGGCGGAGATTCCCCTTGTACTCACCTCTATGCTGCGCGTTGCAAACTCAACGCCAATCGTCGACTTGGACTCCAAATTGAATTCATTGCGCGTGAAACGTGAGAGCAAATTACTTTTGCCAACACCAGAGTCACCGATAAGGACAACTGCAAAGGATTAGAGAGCATTAGTGACGCTGGCGACATCGACATTGGCATTGGATAATCAAAGACCCAAAGTTGCATAATATATATGTATGTTCGAATGAATGTATGTGGGGTGTGAGCTGTGGAGTGGCCCGTGTCTTGTGTTTTACGGCCGGACAGGATGGTGGCTTCTGGCTCGGCCAGGTCATGTCCTCCTTTCGCCGATGGCACGGCGCCCCAAGGTCAGCAAGTACATAAAACCGCCGTGCTTGGGGGAATTCAGTCCATGGAAACAAATGTTTTATGATTGTGGGAGTTGACGTTCGGGAGTTCGTGTTATTGTACTTCATTGCCGATAGCAAACATTTCTTGGGTAATTGGGTGGGGGATGTTTGAGCAAGCAAACAAGCTTTCCAAGCTGAGAGTTCTCATACGATAAGTAGTTTTCACTATGACTGAAGGTCGAAAAATTTATGAAACATACATGATTATGATTTTCCTTCTAAAAATTTAAATAAGACTTTCTTTGGGTTTTTTTTTTTGACAAAATAAAAAATGTTATTCATATTAAAACTTAAATAATTTTGGCAATTAAATTACAAAATAAATAATAGAGTACTCGCCCTTATCTATGGCTTTAAGACTTGCCTTATTTGTGGCTCGAACTTATCAAGTTTACATTAGCCGATATCTACTATATTTACAGTGTACACATGTCGGATAGTTTTCATTTTTGACACCCTTTTCGGTCATTGTTGATTCAGCGTGTTTGCCAATCCATTGAAGAAAACAATAACAAAAAGTCATCAAACACCTTTTTTTTGCTCCATCACTCTCTATAGTGCACAGAAAAAAATCTCCGCATCAAAGTAATAAGATAACAAATTTTAAAAACTTTTTTTTCGAATGCATTCTACATCCATTGTTTCCCATATTATTAAAGTGTCCCAAACTAAGTTTAACCAATAAATTTGCATCCAAATTTTTCTTTCTGTGTGGACAGCTGAGAGCAGCGTGGTTACAGTTATCAGCGCGAGAGCTGAGTCACTCCTTTCCCTACTCTCCTTCTCTGAGTTTCTAACGATCTTCAAAGAGAAATTACACTTGGTTGAGCGGATGTGACGAGAAATTAAAAGGGGAGTAATCGACGGTCATTACTTACTAGTGGGAATGGCTCCAACAACCCGAATACAGCCCACTTTGGTTATGTGATTATGCGCTTATCGCAGAGTGGAATTCTTCAACAGTTATTGGCAGTGAGTCATAGCTGGTTAATATCGTTTCATGTGTGAAATTTGAGGCCTCATCAGGCATATTGCTCATTGACGCATTCATGAGGTCTTTACTTTTTTACTCTCTCTGAAAAACTTGACCCAAAAACGACGCCAGATAAGGGTTTAAATATTTGACAAAAGATGTGGCAGTACAATTTTCATTAATGACATTCAACAGTTGCTCAGCTGTGATAGCAGATTTCTCAAGCGCAATTGGAATTTATGGCGTAGTAGCCAAGCAAACGAAGAGAACAAAGGAGAACTGAGAATTGATGACCCCCGAGCATAAACAACTGAGAATGGGGGAAGATGCGGGATAAGAATGTGATTTTACGAGCAAAAACAAGATCTCGCTCCACTGTGCCCCCAACTTTCAATTGAGAGCGCGAGAGCGAAAGAGAGAGCCACTTAACTAAAAGAAGTTGCAAAAATCCAAATGCAAAGGCCAGCTGTACAGAAATCATAATACCCACACTCTCTCGCCGTATTCACTGGAAATCTAATCAATTTACGAATTCCAGTGGGTGGCTAAGCATAAAAACAACTTTTAAAGCAATTATTAATACGATTTGCCTTTGCTTTGTATGCAACGTGGCGCGAGCAACGGTATCGTAATGACAAAACAGACAGTTAACGGCAAAGTACGCGTACTTCAATCCGGAAGAAAAGAGAGCTCCAAAGAGAGGGAGAGAGAGCGGAGCCACCAAAGGGCATCCAACTGCAGCAAGTAACAACAACAAACTCGGGGGGCGTTCTTCTTGGACTTATTTTGGGAATTAATCACACACACACAAACAAAGCACATACCATCACATGAACTTTGGGCTCTTTGAGTGCACTTTTTGTTATTCTCCAATTAGTTTCAATTAGTGCCATTGAACCACTGCGTCACGGGAGAGGAGAGAGAGAGAGCCTGGAAGTGCTGCTCCTCCTGTCCCCCGTCTCCTTCCACGATCTCTGGCCAGTGGCCACCGGCTAGTATCATGTTTATAATTACCTTTGAACAGATAGTCGTACTCGTCTTCTCTTGCACCCATTTTGCTCAATTTGTTTTGCTGTCGCTCGCTCGATTCGAAATCCTTGGCAAATCCAGCTCCGTCCTGTGTGTTCCGTGTGCGGGTGCTAAACGAAATCCAATAATCCCTGCGCCGCCGATTTCTTTAATGCGTTTGTCGTAGGCTCACACACTTTACACTTTATTTGCAGTTGTAGTTGTAAAGAAAAGAAAAGTGTATGTATCAGTATTTTGGGTGGGCAAATCAGCTGGATTTCCAGCTCGACTGCGTGCGGAGCGGCTGGCAGAATGTATCCGGCAACTGGGGCCGTATTAATTTGACATTTCCAGAAGCTTTCAGCGCATTTATTTGCAATTTTCCTTACACGAAACGAAACTTAGTCACTCCCAATAACGTGACGTTATATTTTCCAACGAGTAGAGATGGTATTCGTGCTAGAGGAGGTATGCTGGTATAGCGAAACACAATCCTGACATTTTACCGTGGTGTTTATGGTATTTTTAGTACTTTTACTAGCGGGGTCACACACCCCACTTAGCGCAAACACACACCTATTTTTGGACCATCTCTAATTGCTAAATGGAATTTAAAAGGCAAAACCGTTAATTTAAATTCGAAAATAACAATTTTGGTTTTAAAGTTTCTAGCTAATTGATTTTTATTGGAAAACATAAATATAAAAAAACTCTGGGTCATTACTTATTAACAAATTAACATTTGCATGAAAATCCGCTACTCCTGCCGGCCGAAGGGTTTTTTTTTCGGAATTTTTTCTTGTTCTTCTGCTTCTGTTAAAGATTTCTTATAATATGATTTCTACAAAGTGATTTATAGTCTGTTCTCTTCACAGTTTAATGGCCATGACTCGGGTCATTGTATGCGGTGGTGGCGGCGTGAAGGTGACTCTTCCCTGATTGTCCTTGAAATCGACGTGGGCGAGTGAGTAGATGCACTCCATCCCTAGACTTTCCTTTTGTCGAGCAGAGTAAAAGCTTGTACAATTGGCGACCATAACAGGGAATCCCTTGGTTCTTCCCAATTCCATCAGAGTTTTGGCAAGTCGCGAACCTAGGCCCTTTCCTCTCTTGGAGCCAGCAACAGTGGTCATGCGGGACAGAAGTGCTTTGGAGATTCCGTACCGCTCGAAAATATTGGCCCCACTTTCGAGCTTGTAGAGATAGACATTCAAGTGACCCGAAATGGTTTGATCCGCGTTCTCCGCCATCCGTCGATGCCTCTCGTAATCTTCAGGGAATAGGGATCCGGCCAGTGCGCAACCCACAAGGCGGTTACCATCTTGCTCGTCAAGGGCCACCAAACACATTCCCTGAGCGATCATCGATAGGTTCTCCTCATCCCATTGCTCTTCGTCCAGGGGTTGAAAGGGTTTTCCACAGCTTAGGCTTAAATACAGCGGTTCTGCATTGAAGAATTCATTCTTTAGGAAAGGTTTCACTTGTTTATAGTCCCTTAAGTCCATGATGCGAATGTTGACACCGTCTTTTAAGTTGGACTCCATAATAAAATCGGTCTTTACAGGCCCGTTGCTTCAGTGACGATAAAGTAATAGACGCCTTGTTGCCCACTGATTTGGCTTTTATATATAGCCACCAGCTATCTTTTCGCAATAGAAAAGGGATAAACAAAAGATAGGAAAACAATATTTTAGTTAAACCAGATAATATTTTTATCATATTGACAAAACTGGTACAAACACACCCTGTATGTACATTTGGAACTATACAAAATGCACCAAAAGCTTTCAGTTCCCAGTTCCGAGTAAAAAATTATTAACTTACAAAACAAAGTATAAAAGTGGCTATTTTAATATAAAATACTTGTTGTATAAAAACAATAAATTAAGTATAATGTGCAGCTAATACTTGCGTTGATCTCTAGAGTGATTAATAAACTTTGTTCTTATTGCACTTAAATGCGAGCGCGTTGCAAGGCCATGGCTGGATAAATGAGCAGGAGTCCGCCGGCTATATAGGTGATCTTCGAGCCCACGCACCAAAAAGCTATAAGAATTTGTAAGATTTGTAAATGTTATAAAAATGGTAATGGTCAATTCGATACTTTTTAAAGATCAAGTTATTCATATCATTTTGATATGTTTTTTATATTATTTGCTCAAAAATACAACATTTTGGTATTTTATGATATGATAAAATATCATGTTGATATGATTGAATCTTAAATTTGGCATAAATCAAATCGGCTTTTTATTGATATGAAATAAGGTAGAAATAACCCTATTTCATATTGGTTTTTTTCTGTATAGGATTATTATTTTTACTTACCAATGCAGCCTACTACAGGACCCAAAGCACGAGCCAGAGCTCCCAGGGAGCGGAATATGCCCAATACTGAACCCTTTTGGTCATCGTTTCCATACTTGGATACCAGAGTCGTTAGACAGGTGACAGCAAAGGCGGTGGAGATTGCGAAGAGGGTCATGCCGGCGTAGAGCATTCTACTGCCCTCCGCCAGGCCGACTAATACGAAGGCGGGAACAATCAGATAGAGACTGAAGATGGCATAGCCCTTGATCTTGGCCTCGGGCAAACGGCGAACAACCGATCCCTGCAGCAAAGTCATAATAACACCTGCAAAATATCACAGCATTTTAATTAAAATTTTAAAAAATCATTATAGTTTCCATACCTGTTGTTAAAAACATCTTTGCCTGATCCATCGAAGTATAGCCAAATTTGTGGTACATCAAAAAGGTGACGGTGAACTCCAAGCCGGAATACAGGAAGAGGTACAGAAAGTATATCAATCCAATCGATCGCAAGGCCTCAATATCTTTCTTGGAAACATTTTTGATGGCAGCAAATCTGGCAATACAAGAATTAGGTCGAAATTAGATTGGACACTTCGGGCATAATCGTAGATAATATTCAAGCTAACTGGAAACCACCCTTCCCTGTAACTACTTTTAATCAGAAGCATTACCAGCGTTTCCCAACTGATAAGACAATCAAATAAAACGTGCACGATAATAATGTCCATCAAACCAGTCAGACAAGTCAGACAAGTCAAGTCCGGGTTGCTTGCAGTTCCCAGCGAATGACGATTTCAATTTGATCACACGACTGGTTTTCGCGACATGCTAATTAAAACAATGATTTACCTGAATATGGCCGAGAAGTTGAGCAATTGCAGGCCATATGACAGGGCAGATGAGATCTCCTTAACACGTTTCTCCTGTAAAAGAGTCCAACAATTAATATTAATATTATATTATAATATTAAGCAAACCCACCTTCGGCAAAGTCTCTCGCAGGCAGCAAGCCAGAACCAAAAGATCTCCGATTGCCAGGCCAAAAGCCAACAGAGAGGGCAGCACAAACCAGGCGCCTCCACTTTTATCCGAGAATATGGCGAATAAAGCTCCAATCATGGGTCCTACAATGAAGCCCAGTGAGAAGGCCACGCCCACCAGGGCCATGCCACGCCCCCGGGTCTTGACGCTGGAGACATCCGTGATCACAGACATGCATAGCGAAATATTGCCCTTGCTGATGCCTCCCACAAAGCGGGCCAAAACGAACAGGGCAAAGTTGCTGGAGCAGGCCCAGATCAGATAGGATAGCGCAATGCCAGACTGGGGATGGGGAAAATACGATGTATATTGTAAGCAAGGGTTTAAAAAATGTGTAGTACTACAGTATTATTATTTTCGTTTGACTTTCTATTTTTCAGAAAATAATTTCTAATTTTAAGGGCATTTTTTCTAGTTGTACCCATGTAGAGGGTATTATAATTTCACTCAGATGTTTGCAACGCAGTGAAGGAGACGTTTCCGACCACATAAAGTATATATATTCTTGATCAGCACCAATAGCCGAGTCTATCTAGCCATGTCCGTCTGTCCGTCTGTTCGTCTGTCTGTCTGTCCGTCGTGTAGGAAGTAGGCGTTTTGATTCTTGACTACTTAAAAACAAAATTTAAATAAATAGAAACGCTGAATCTGGAATCCCCGGAACTGCACCGAGTGAGCATTCTTTTATCTACAAGGGAATAAAAGCTTCGTCTGGCCGTAGGTAGCTTCCTTTCTTGTTTTATATTTATTTTTCAGCACCTAATCACTGCCCAGTTTCAGCACCTAATCACTGCTCAGTTTCAGCACCTACTCACTGCTCAGTTTCAGCACCTAATCACTGCTCAGTTTCAGCACATAATCACTGCTCTGTTTCAGCACATAATCACTGCTCAGTTTCAGCACCTAATCACTGCTCAGTCTCAGCACCTAATCACTGCTCAGTTTCAGCACATAATCACTGCTCAGTTTCAGCACCTAATCACTGCCTACTTTCAGCACCTAATCACTGCCTACTTTCAGCACCTAATCACTGCTCAGTTTCAGCACCTAATCACTGCTCAGATTCAGCACCTAATCACTGCTCTGTTTCAGCACCTAATCACTGCTCAGTTTCAGCACCTAATCACTGCCTACTTTCAGCACCTAATCACTGCTCAGTTTCAGCACCTAATCACTGCTCAGTTTCAGCACCTAATCACTGCTCAGTTTCAGCACCTAATCACTGCTCAGTTTCAGCACCTAATCACTGCCTACTTTCATCACCTAATCACTGCTCTGTTTCAGCACCTAATCACTGCTCTGTTTCAGCACCTAATCACTGCTCAGTTTCAGCACCTAATCACTGCCTACTTTCAGCACCTAATCACTGCTCAGATTCAGCACCTAATCACTGCTCAGTTTCAGCACCTAATCACTGCTCAGTTTCAGCACCTAATCACTGCTCAGTTTCAGCACATAATCACTGCTCAGTTTCAGCACCTAATCACTGCTCAGTTTCAGCACCTAATCACTGCTCAGTTTCAGCACCTAATCACTGCCTACTTTCAGCACCTAATCACTGCTCAGTTTCAGCACCTAATCACTGCTCAGTTTCAGCACCTAATCACTGCTTAGTTTCAGCACCTAATCACTGCTTAGTTTCAGCACCTAATCACTGCCTACTTTCAGCACCTAATCACTGCCTACTTTCAGCACCTAATCACTGCCTACTTTCAGCACCTAATCACTGCTTTTAGCACCTAATCACTGCTTTCAGCACCTAATCACTGCCTACTTTCAGCACCTAATCACTGCTTAGTTTCAGCACCTAATCACTGCCTACTTTCAGCACCTAATCACTGCTTTCAGCACCTAATCACTGCCTACTTTCAGCACCTAATCACTGCCTACTTTCAGCACCTAATCACTGCTCAGATTCAGCACCTAATCACTGCTCAGTTTCAGCACCTAATCACTGCTCAGTTTCAGCACCTAATCACTGCTCTGTTTCAGCACCTAATCACTGCTCAGATTCAGCACCTAATCACTGCTCAGTTTCAGCACCTAATCACTGCTCAGTTTCAGCACCTACTCACTGCTCAGTTTCAGCACCTAATCACTGCTCAGTTTCAGCACATAATCACTGCTCAGTTTCAGCACCTAATCACTGCTCAGTTTCAGCACC